TTTGCACCAAGAATATAACAGCTGCAAATTTTTTCATTTTTCCACCTCTATTTCTTCCTCCCCCATGCCAAAAAGGTCCCTAAATAGTATTTCCATTATTAGTCCTTACTTCTGTGGATATAATATCAGGGGGGGTAGTAGTACTACTAGTAGTACCTACTACAAATAATAGTACTAGTACTACCAGTACTGCTTGCTTGTTGAAAATTTGTTCCATTACACTCACTACTACTACTACTACTACTACTACTACTACTACTACTACTACTACTACTACTACTACTGTATCCTATAGCATTGGCGCACTAGTAGTTATTCCAGCCAAACCAATCATACCTTAGGAATGCTCAATATGCATACATGTATATCTATCAATACTTTTCAGATGCCCTACTTTCCCATGGCGTTAGAAAGCTCTTTGAATTCTATTCTTTAACTATGTGCTTCTTGTCTTTATGTGGCCATTGGGGACAAAGTTATAGTAGCTGTTCAAGTGAGTTGACTCTCACTTAATGCCCTGCGTGTTTTTTCTACTAGTATGCGTCAATTTTGGGCTATCTTTTTTGCTGTAATGACTACTTTGACTAAGCAATTTGCATGTGTTCAAAGCCAAAATTGTTGGCTGAGCACGTGCGCGAAACATTTGGTCACACGACTGGTGGGAATAAAAAAGTCAACACTACTGAGCATGTGCATTTTGTATGTATATAATTTTTTAGTCAAAGTAGTCATTACACGCAAAACAAGGGCCCAAAACGTATGACTGGTTCATACATTGGTTCGCCAACTCTATACGATAACATCCACTATTATTGCCAGTGAAAAATTAAATAATAAAAAAAATGTATTTTCTTCTGTTGGACAGTTTTGGATAGTTTGTGAACTTTAAGAATGAGCTGAAAACTTGAAATTTGTGCTACCGGTAGCATCCTACTGGTATTGCCAATAACTTGACAGCATGGGGCCAGCCTCTCAGAGTGTGGTCCTCTCATTTCTCCCAAAGAGTTGTCAGAAATTTCTGCCAATGGGTCATTCCCAAAAACATATATTGAGGTATGTAATCAGGAATCACTTTCAGTGGTACTAAAGGCTCAGCAGGCTGGCTCCAATAACATATTTCCACCCCATTTTTGGAATTTGGAAAAGAAGAAGGAAGATGATCAAGAATTGGTTTGGCACGAAGTGACTCCTGTCTTTAGTAGCATGTGCCCACTGACCAGACTGAATACCTTCAGTCAAGGATTCCAAGAATAAAAAATGTAATATCCATACATAAAACAATCCGGGCATGCCAAAAATGACATACCCAATACAGTACTTGTTTGAGTTAAAAATAAGATTATTGATTTCTAATAGGTTGTGAGTATATAAAAGGTGCCAGTTTTTAGCTTTATTTGCTTGGTTGTTAACACTAGCAAAAGTACCAATCAGAATTAGAGAATCCGTCAGTCGTAAAGGGTTTTCTCATGTCTTTTGATACATGTGCATATTGTATGGTTTCTTGCCAGAGAACCTTTTCAGGCTTGTTGATTTCTCTTTGCACAGAAATTAAAAAAAACTCACTAACACAACCTCATCATAGGGACCTGTCACCTCTTTAGTTCTTCATCAACATCCAACCAATTGGGCTCACAACAGGACAAGTGTTCTAATCCTTACATTAAGGGGGAAAGGATCCTGAAGTTGCGGTTTGATTGCCTGAGTTGTTTGGAAGAAAGAGCAGATCTAAGCTACAGCAAAAAATCATCATGAAAATTGCAACTAAAGAAGCTGCAGTGTAACCAGCAAGACAACACCTCCTTCACTTCCATCATCAAGACAACCAGTGCACCAGATCAATTCATTATAACAAGAGGAAGGAGATCCGGAAGTTTTGGATCAACCGGCCAAGTATTTTGGAAAAAAAGCAGTTTTTGGCTGTATTTGGTACCAAGATGAACAACAACAACAACAACACCACCAGCAAGCCAGCGCCACCCAGAGCACTAGCTCTACTCCCAGCACTATCAATCTGGCCACTTACCAAGAGATGTGTGACAAACATATGCTGAAACATTAGCTGGGACAGTTGGAATATCTTTTGCAGTTGGCAAAAAAGAAAAATCAGCAGCAGCAACAACAACAACAACAATGAAGATGTGGCTGCCAGCAGCAGTAAGGGACACAGCAGTTGCAGTTGGATCAGTGCACACAGGACCCTCCATCGCGTTGTGTGAAAGAACAACACTGGCTGCTGAGAACTTCTTTGGATCAAGGTCTGGAGGCACCCTCCAGTGCTCTGTGAACAGATCTATGTTATTTGCTCATTTTAGTGACAAAGAAGCCAGCAGCAAGGTCTTGCAAAGAAGAGTACAGCAATGCATGGAAAGGATGGTTAAGGGACCTCTGGGCCCTCCAAATTCCCTTGATTGTACTAATACTCCTAAACAAGCTTATATCAAGACAATAAACAAGTTTCTTCAGAAACGAGCTCACAATGATGCCTATGAAGCAGTGGCAAAGAAAGTCAGGTATGAGCAAGAAACTTTGCCACCAAACTCCCCTTCATCTGTTGTGAGCATTGTGTCTCAAGTGAATTTGCTTTGGAACACGCCATTGAAGGCAAACACCATCAGACAACATTTGAAGGAGGGCCTCCAGCCCCCCAGGCAGGGCCGGAAAAGTTTGCTACCACCAGCAATCAAAGCAGCACTATCTGATGCAGTGTCATTGTTTGTTGGTTTAGCATGCAAGGAAAAGAAGACAATTCCCTGATGTAAAGAATTTGTCTCGATGTTGAAAGCGTGTCTTTTACCTGGTCCATGTCTGCTAAACAATTTTATGAGTCTGTACCAACACTTACTGCCAACCTTTGCAGAACACTTGATAGTTGCAAAAGCAAAACAAAAATTGAAGAGCACCGATTGAAGTGGACTAAGTACAATAACATTAATACTTGGTTTAATACACTTAAGGACACAAATGTTGCAAAAGGATTTGCCAGAATGAAAAAAGACAATGAAATCCTGGAAGGTGAGCTGGTGTTTTTTCCTGGGCAACTAAATTGAATTATCAACTTGGATGAATCAGGATTGACACTGGACAGGAATGGGAGCCGAGCTGGAGGAAGGCTGCCAACAGCATATGGATCTGCTGATAAATATGTTGGATGTGGAGCTGACAGGACAAACAAAAGCAATTCATGAATCACTTTGGTTGCTGGTAGCAACACTGCTGCTTACCCTTTACCAAAGCACTTGCAATTGAAATCAAATATCACCAAAGAGGAGAAGAAGCAAATCCATGAATTATTTGTCAACTGTGTTCAAAACATGGATGGGCACATACAGTGCTGATTGTGTCACAAGCAATGGAGCTATGGTGAATTGAAACATGAATGCAGGAATGGACAGTGAAGAGTTCAAAAAGTACGTATTGGATGCCATTGTTAAGCTTTATCCAGATGCCGCAGATTTGCCAGGCAAATAACTATTTTTTTGCCAAGGAAAGAACCAGACAATTGGATGAGATTAAACACTTGGAAGCAAAGAAGAAGGTTGCAAAAGCAGCAGAAGCTTTGAGCAGCAAAGCTCATGGTTTGATTGAGAATTTTGCTTCAAAGGGAAAAGATTTTAAGAAGGGGGAAGATACAAAGCAAGACCATCCCAGTTTCTACTCTGAAGGTTTTGTGCCAGTGGAAGCAGCAAAAGAAAATTCCTGCAAAGAAAGACAAGCTGTTGCTTGGAAATGTGGATGCAAGTAAAGAATATTTCCCATCCTCCTCTTAAGGGATGATGGACTGATACTGATGAGACTTTGCTAAATAAACTGAAAGAGGATGAGATAAGTATCAGGGAGACTGCATATGGAAGGGAGAGAGAGAGATTGAAGAACCAAGCACTGTCATTCATAGCAAGCTTGACCAAAGAAGAGGGAGTTGCTTCCAATAGTATGCCTACTATTGAGGTAGTACTGGAAGGAGCCAAAGGGTTAGTTGATGCTGATCCTGTAGTTGGTGAAGTTGCTGAAGTGTAAGTGTAGCTTCCAGTAGTTGGCAATTTATGTTGAGAGAAATCTGTTCTTTGGAATGGATTTATATGTGGTAGTGTTTATATATTCAATTTAGCAGATCTGAATTCTCAAAAAGTGAGCTCGGAAACTCAATTATCCTTCGATATAAAATAGTTTCTTTTTATTTTGTGACAGCTTGCCCGTGCTGGTCGGAATTACCTCATGGGAAAAGAATCAGGAGGAGCAGTTTCGACTCCGTGGGAACGTGTGTAACCCCTATCAATGTATATATGGATTGAAAGCTTATAACAAGATGAATATAGCCATGGTGTTCATTAACGTATACAATATAACATTGGCTTTAATTTGACCTTTAAAGTTTTGGTTAAGGCATATATATTCTAACGGTACAAACAGAAAAAAGCGTGTGTCATCCAAAAATTTCAAGCTAGTTTTTGTTAGTCACGCAGCGCAAGTCGTCGTCCTTCAGAGAGGGGAGTCGAAATAACGGAAGGCATATCTAAAACTGATTATTTCTAACTATCGAAAAATACATACGCTGCCCTTTTTTGGGAAGCTTCTTCTCGATGGCAAGTCATTGCTTGACAATCACACTGCAAAATAGTCATAGTACTCTTTTTTCTGCATCTTTGGATATGTCGAACACTGTCAGACAACGACTGGTTGCTGAGATGGAGCTTCCCAAAAAAGGGCACGCGCGAATCCTTAAAAACTCTTTTTCTTTTCCCATGAGGAACTATTACTATTGTTCCATGCGTAGAGCACTGTAAAATTAATACTGTTAAAAAGCTTTCACGTCGTAATTCGGAGCGAAAAGGGTACGTAACCTCTTTACAGTATCGGACATTTCGTTTCTTTCTTAATTTTCCTACGGCACGAGGAATTACGTACTCGTTCGTAATGCTGTACCGTATTACGGAGTCATTTAATCTCTCTTGTCCTTCTCAATCTGTTGAAACCCATGCCTTCGCAATAAAATAGGATACGGGATCTCAACAAACGCTTTATTCAATTCAAACACAAACAATACAGATAATTTGCTTCGAGACAAGAAAAATCAGCAAGGAGATGGCAACGAATGGATTGTCCCGTCGTCGCGGAACCAGGAGGCGAAAGCGCAATTGGGGTCCTCTGCTCTTAGGTGGCGCGGTGTTGTTTTTGTTCGGAATCATTGGAGGTAGCATTTTATGTTTTGTAATGTTAGATGTTGGACACACTGGAGATAGCACGGTTGCTGTTGATGCTACGGCTGATGTAACGGGTGATGCAAAGGCTGATGCAAAGGCTGATGCAACGGCTGATGCAACGGCTGATGCCGGGAGAAGTTCCTTTTCGCGACAGAAGAGACATGTCAGAAAACGTAATATTTTGGAATACGACCCCGACGACTCGAAAAAGATACCACCCAAGTCTCTCGACGATTTCATGAAGGAGGCGAAAAAGAAGTTTATGGATCATTTAGTCCAAGAAGGGACTTCTGGGAGCTTTCCATATTATCCCAGAGATGAAGTTGCAAAGGATCACGATTTTACAACGTGGACGGCTCCTGGTGGAAAGCGCTTCGAGGAATACAAACACGGCGATTCTCCCTACACGTACGCTCCGAACGAATCCGATGCTTTGGCTAGAAGTCGGCGATACCACGTGAAAAAAGCGATGGAACACGCCTGGCGCGGATACGAAAAATATGCTTTTGGTATGGACGAATTAGCACCCGTAAGCGAGAGAGGTAAAATACGCTGGGGCGGGCTTGGGACGACGCTAGTGGATAGTTTAGATACCCTTTGGTTGATGAACATGACAGACGAATTTTATCGTGCGAGAGACTGGTGCAAGACCAGCTTGTCTCACAACAAAGATGTTCAAGTCAGTGTATTTGAGACTACAATTCGATCCCTCGGAGGTCTTTTGTCTGCGTACGATTGGTCCCAAGACGAAGTCTTTCTCGACCAAGCTAAGGATTTGGGGGCGCGCCTCTTTAAAGCCTTTGATACGGAGTCTGGACTACCGGCTAGTCAAGTGAACCTTAGAACGGGGAATGCACAAAAGGCGCGATGGATGTCGACAGGTGCTGTCATTCTGTCCGAGTTTACCACGTTGCAGATCGAAAATCGTGCCCTGGCACGTTTCTCTGGCATTCGAGATTACAAGTTGAAAAGCGAAGAGGTCTTTCAAAGGATGAATAGAGTAGAAAACGTAAAAGATGGCCTGTATCCTTGGTCGATTCATGGCACGAAAGACGGAGCGACGATCTACAACCAAAAAATTACTTTTGGGGCTATGTCTGATTCTTTCTACGAATACATGCTAAAAATTTGGATTCAGGGCGGACAAACGGAACCAATCTACAGAGAGATGTACGACAAATCTATTCAAGGCATGCACGACCGGCTTCTTTCGGTTTCCCGTCCTTCTGAATTAGTTTTCATTGCCGATGAAAATAACGGACGTATGGATCACAAAATGGATCATTTGGTTTGCTTCATGGGTGGTCTGCTTGCTCTCGGAGCCTACACCGACCCACAAGGCCTGGACTCGAAACGCGCGCAGCGAGATTTAAAAACCGCCAAGGTAAGACGAGTATATAGCTCTTTATATCGGGCACACTAGCCCGGTCTATTCCCGTCGAGTCCTTCTCTTTGTATGCAGTATCGAGGATTCTTGGGTTGAAACAAACTTTCGTTTCTTATGATCTTTATTATCTCCTGTTTCCTCCTCTCTCTTGAAAAAAAAAAAAGGCTCTGACATACACGTGCTATCAAAGTTATGCCAGAATGCCGACAGGAATCAGTCCAGAATTTATTCAATTTCACATGGATGCAGACGACTTCGGACCCGGAAGAGGCGCACCCCACTACTTGCTGCGGCCCGAAACTGTAGAATCCTTCTTTGTTCTTTACCATTTGACCGGAGATCCTGTCTATAGAGAGTGGGGCTGGGAGGTTTTTCAGGCCATAGAACGGTATTGCAAAACCAAAGTCGGGTACGGTGAATTGTCAGATGTACAAAATTTAAAAATCAAACCACGAGACACTATGGAGAGCTTTTTCCTCGCCGAGACACTGAAGTATTTGTATTTGCTCTTCGATCCCGAGACACCAATTGACTTGCTCCATAAACACGTATTCAACACTGAGGCACATCCTATGAGAATCTTTCCTGTCATGGATAGCGATGGAATAATGGATTTGATAAAATAACAAAAAGTAGCTGCCCGGATGAATATAAACCGAAAGCGGAAAAATCATTTCGATTGTACTACTACGTACTGTACTTCCTATTAATAGTATTTAAAATAGTTGTATTCTAAACCTGTTGAGTTGTCATATTTTTGCAACTTTTCAATGCGAAACACCTGGCAGTGACAACGATCGTCCATTGTTTACTCAAAACCACTGAAACTGCCTTTTGGCCTGTTTCACCAAAAAGACTGATATTAGTATGATTGCCAGTATTACTTTGTAGTGCTACAATACATACAAGTGTAACAACATGAAAATTCTACCATGACTACTAGTACCACTAGTACTAACTATCACTAGTACTAACTAGAATCAATATTGTGCGTCCAAGCTCTGAAACCAGAGATGCATTTCCTTTTTGTTTCCTTTCTGTTGTGTTTCTGGTCTACATTAGTTCTTGTTATATCAAAAAGCCTTACATTGCTAGTACTAGTACTCGTACTACATACCACACTGGGATGGAATAATGTTATTTTCTTGGTCTCCTGATAAAGGTCTTGACAAGTCAACACCTTTGCTGCTACTCTTGGTGGTGGTGGTGGTGGTGGTGAGACAGCTAGAAGCTCAATATTTCAGCAAATTTCAATGTTTGTTTTCCTAGTTCTACTACTAACCAAACCCAACAGTTTCTAATGTGTTATTCCTACTGGTATTATCAGAGTCATGCAACAGCTATTAACAAGGATAAGTAGCAGAGTCTCTACAACATTCTAGTACCAGCAACTTTTTGTTTCTTTCATATTTATGTTACTTTACTGTGACAGGAGGAGGTAATATCTATTACTACTACTAGTAGTAGTACAAGTACAGGTCAATCCTAGTATCTAAACCACCATTTTAAAATAGTAACACATTGACTTGATTTGTTTGATTCACTGACCTGACTGACTTGACTCATTTGATTCACACATCACTCGATCTTCATTCTTATCAATTTTAGATTTCATAGTTTGTTGATCATTGATAAGAGCATCGACTCACTTTTCTTCTTCTAGTAGCACTCGATTGACATCACTACTATTAGATAGTCACTCCCACAGGTTATGGCACACCATTCCAATAAAAATCACCACCACCATGGTGATTTTTTAGGTGTACTCTCTCCTCACAAGACTCTACCTCATACAATTGCCCATGAGCCATTGAACAACAAACTGTCATCGCACATACAAAGAAGTAACAACTACTAAGGACACATTGACATTCATTCACTGAAACAAAACTGTAATTTATTGTTTCACCATACTCACCATGGTCAACTTTCAAAAAAAATTCTACCATTGTTTCGAAATCTAAAATCTTGATTCAAGACACACATTCTTGTTTTTCGGAACTTATTCAGCATTAACACTCCCATCATAATTTTTAACTCCCACACGTACATTAAAAATTGAATCCCACATTTGCACAATTGGCCATTTACCCTTATTCCCACATTCAAGAATTGAGACCATCTCACTTTACGAGACCAGCACACTTTGCCGTAAAACTCCTCCTTCAACAATTCCTCACTGAAGCTTTCCATGAAAACCAGCAACACTTTTACAAACAAAACAAATTATCAATTCACAACAGTCACCTCATAAAACATATTTTGATTCAAATCAAAACATCTTTTATTCCCAATTGTCTTTTTTGCTCAAGAGCCTCAAGACTACACCACTTCCTTTCATCATGCCTACAAGAAGGGCATCAACTGGTGCCGATGCCATCCTTTTCACCCAAAGGTATCATTCATCGACATTGTGTTCCACAATCATCAACTTCACCTAACTTTACCAACAAGATGAACAATGCATACAGTTCAAAGGTGATGCACCATTTGATTTCCATCACTGCTATTACTACTAGTAGATAGTCACTCCCAAAAATGACACACATCACCAATCGTCTTAACACTAGCTATGAGGACTGAGCATATCCCCAAAGGGGATCTCATTAGAGGCCTTTCCAGAGCTGTTGTGGTTAGCTTATTGAACTGTTTGGGGTTGAAAGAGTGACCAAATACTAGTAGATCTTTGTAGGATCAGTACTAAATACTGGGCTTCAAAATGAATCGGGATGCTACTAGTAATTATTTTTGGTGTTTGAGTAGAATGCCTTTTTGCCCTGGAGGACGTGGTAGGGTTTATGATTAACGCATTTTACTCCAATTAAACTCGTACGCACACTTTCCAAGTTTTTCGTAAATTTGAAAATCTAAAAACTGAAAAACTACCGGTAGGATGTACAGTACGTATCGTATCGTATGTACTATTGGCACGTTTGTACGTACGTACGTAACGTCACACAGTGTGATGATGCGATGGGTCCCGATGCGATACGTACGGTACTAGTACCGGTACGTACCGGTTTCAAAAAAATTTCAAACTCGTGCAAGACACGAATAAACAGCAATCAAATTACGAGCAACATATCTTGTACAATATTCATGCGCGCGCACATAAAATTTAAATTTTTAGAGGAAGGTTTTTCCGGGTCTAGCAGTTGAATGACGATGTGAGTTTGACCAAGTTTAGAACTTCAAGAAACACAAAATACAAAATACATTTGGCGCGAAGCAAGAAATAAAATCAAGACTCCGGGACTAATCGGAGTTGAGTTTAAGAGTCGCCGCGCTCGCAACACGTCGTGTATTGGATAAGGGGTGATCCATACAAGAACAATTTGAATTGATTACTTAGAGACGAAGCCGTTATGCTGAACGACACACAATGTGTCAACACAGCTTGAATTTTCAAATAATCTTCCTTCCAATTTGCCACGAATACTATCTGCCGTACAGCAAAACTCCAACGAAACTGATAAAGGTCAAAACGATGGAGGGTTCATAATCTTCCACATTGAATTTTTTAGGACCACGACATACCTACAATACCAGAAATAAATTCACATAGTATCACCATGAGAATGAATGATAATTCTACTCCCGAGAAGAGGTCACGGAAGTGCTTCTACTCAGGTGCCTTGCTTCTTGTCGTAGTATTGGCTGCCAGTAGTGCTGTCGTCGGATACTTCATTTTCAAAAAGAAAAACGATGATACTCTGAGCGTTGAAAGCAGTATGAGCGAGCCATGCCATCTTGCTGTCAAAGACGCCCACCAACCCATCTTGGAGATCACGCTTTCTGCAGAACAATCGAAAACTATGTTAACTGATACTCAAGCCAAAGAGTTTGAAACAGCTCTCCTAGAGGCCTACAATGATGCTTCCGGTGGCTGCTCCGACGAATTTAAGCGCTGGATGTACGGCACTAGCATCGTTGACCAAAGCCTAAAGGAACACGTCGTCTTGGAGAATGAAGGGGACTCGTCCATCTCCCACACATTTGATAGCGAGTACAGCTTGGTACTTCAAGTGGAAACCATGATTTCCTGCGATGGTTGCCCGGATGATTTAGCCTTCGCGTCTCAATACCCAGAAACTTTTGGAGACGTAGCGTCATCGAATAGAAACTTGGGTGTTGGGCTTCCACTAGGCCGTTTCTACAATGCACTTGAAGATATTGTTCATACTACACTGAAGAAGACAATCACCAGCGTGAAAGTGACCCCGAACGCAGGTTCCAAGATTCAGCACATGAGCTATTACACAAAGACAGCCAAGGTAAGTTGATGTTGCTCTTTTACGAATGTCTATTTAGAATGTTCGCATTTCTCCAAAATGTCCGGCGTGCTTGTTATTCTCTTGCTATTCTCTAATATGTATTGAATTTTACTTAACTGTTATGAATCATCTCGAATTTCAGGCAAATTCAGGTGGTAACTATTATACCTCCGGGAGGGCAAGCTCAGGCAACTATTATGGCTCCAAAGGTTCGAAAGGGATAGCGTCTGCAGTCGCCTTCGGAATGAAGGGAGGGAAAGGATCGAAGGGATTCAAAGGCAACAAAGGATCGAAAGGATTCAAAGGCAACAAAGGATCGAAAGGATCGAAAGGATTCAAAGGCAGCAAAGGATCGAAAGATGCATATGTTCCTCCGACACCTGCACCACAAGAAGAGGCTTCGACGCCATCTCCAACTCGATTTGTATACACTCCTCAGCCAACAGAGAAGCCAACTCATCGACCCACTCCGCTGCCAACTCCTCGACCCACTCCAGATCCAACACCACAGCCAACTTTGCCTCCAATCGAAGATACTGTAATCCCACCTAGTCCTCGTCCAACGCCGTTGCCTACCCCTGAGCCCACACCTGCGCCGACTCCAAGACCTACACCCGCACCTGTTGCATTACCTACAGAGCCACCAACTCGGTTTGTATACACTCCACAGCCCACTGCTTTGCCAACCAACCCGCCTACGCCAATCCCTACTCCGAGACCCACCCCAGATCCAACACCTCAGCCGACTGCTCAGCCGACTGCTCAGCCGACTGCTCAGCCGACTGCTCAGCCGACTGCTCAGCCGACTGCTCAGCCGACTGCTCAGCCGACTGCTCAGCCAACACCTTTGCCCACTTTGGATCCTACACCTCAGCCCACGCTGCCTCCAATTGAAGAAGCCATTATTACTTGTCCAGATAATCCCTGCATGCTTTTCTTTGCGGAAAACCCAGGTGAATCGTGTGATCCTCTTGTAGCAGCGATTATCGAAGTTGACAGTTGGTGTGGAAAGAGATGGGATCCATGGTGTGTAATCACTTACAGTGATTGCTTCGAATTGACCCAGTGCGACGAATTCTCTATCGGCGAAATTGCGGAAGAAGGCAAGGTTCAAAGAGAAAATATCAAGTGTCCAACGATTATTAGTGATGCAGTAGTGGTTGCTCCTATTCCTGAAATCGGCACCGGGCAAGATACTGTAGCTACCATTAGCTGCCCTACCAGTTTCCCCGGCAGTGGGACTTCTTGTGTGGGAGGAACAAATTTGCAGTGTGAATACTTGTTGACAGACCGCGCAACAGATATCGATATTCCATGGTTGTGCAACTGCGCGAACGACGCATTCTACTGTTCAATCAAGAACTAATCGAGTCATCATTCATAAGGAACTCTGATTCATTCCGTCATTAATCCTCGCCAGTGTCTGGGCTCAGTCATGGTGAAATACGACAATTTAATCATTTACCCATCGTTACCTCATAATAATAGTATAGATTCAATAAAATAAAATAATAATAGTTCAAGCACCGAAGCAAAACAACTCTTATGTTGTACTTCCTCCGTCTAGAACTAGATGTACCCGATGCACCTCAAGTAGTAAAATAAGCTCAATATTTGGGTGATTGGAATGCTTTTTTTGTGCTTGACAGATCTATCATAAACCCATTTATTTATGACGATTGTATTAAGTGAAAGCGCCTGACGTACTTGCAATAGCTATTCAAACAGGGCCCATTTTGGCATATCAATGTGATTTTACCGTCAGTTGGGCTATAGCAGTCATTCAAGCATGCAAGTTGTAGCTATAGAAAGCTAAGACTGAGAGCTTTATCATGATATTCTTATTATACAAAGAGAATGTTCCTGTATCAGTCATTCTTGTTCAAAAGAAGTGCACCGTACCATTGTCAATATTTTAATTGACGTGTAATTAATGTGCAAGAACAATTTTAAAAATCATCAGCATGCTCATTTCTAGTCTCTAGTACTGACTCTACATATTCAACACAGTCATTCCTTAAATCCAACTGTTGAAGCCATTGAGTAAATAGGGGACACTCTTTGTATGGGCAGCCAAAGCATTTGTAGAGAACATCTATTTCTGGACAACAGAAGTACAACTAATTTTGATCAAACTAAATAGTATCGGGCCATTCCCATTGATTCTTATTCTAAATGTGCCAAATTTAATAAGCTGACTGACTGACAATTTAGCACCAGTTGTTCTAGATGTAGTATTTTTTGAAAGGGTACAAGGCCCTTATTCAAAATGTGCTAGATCCATAACAGAATGAATGAATCAAAATTCTGTAAAATTCAACAGAAAGTTCTACTGCTAGTACCTACAGAATCTAAGACACCAGACCTCTTTTTAGTTGTTACAAACTATTCGTAATTCAAAATTAACAAAAAGGCTCACATAGAGCCAGCATTCCTTGCAATCTGTGGATCAAAAATTTGATTCCCATTATTCTAAATGTGCTAAATTTGCTAGTTGTTTGGTGCATTTAAAATAACTGGTAATAACTGGAATGACCCATTGTTATATTTTACCTTGCAAACTAGAAGAGGCGCTACTGGGAAAGTCAGAACCAGCATTCTTGTTCTGGGATAAGCAATGCTCCCCTGTGTGCAAAAGTGAAAACAGGGGCATCTGCACATGGGATCCCCAGATTCAAGGTTCCTATTGTTAATGTAGAATAAAGTAGTAGCACTAAATCTACATAGCAAATTTTCAAATATCATGTTCTTGACTCAAACCCAATTCTATATCCTTCTCTGCATCACACAAGAACTAGTAGTAATTGGAAACCATGTTGACATTGAGGGGGAGAAATTACTTTGTAGAGCTCAGCAGTACTAGAGTTTGGACTAAAAAAATAAAAGATGGGAACCATAAATTATAGTAGTACTATTACTAAAAAACAAAATTCTAGTGCTACTAGTACCACTAACTTGTTTACAACTTCATTTCTACTTCCTCTGCCCCATACTGTAGGTCTAACATATTTGTTTTTCTGTCCTATTGAGAATATCCTTATTTTTATGGACAGTTTGGGCAGTTGAATTTGAGTGAACTGTGTTGAATGTGTCAAATTGGGACCACGGTGGACTAGAAATATACATATTTATGATTGAAAAGGATTTTTCACACATGAAATTACTACACTCAATAATGACAAAAAAAGGTTCTAACCATGGTCCAGACCACCTCCTCTTTTCATCCTCAAGATTGACCAATACAAGAAAATGTCTGTACTACTGAGAAGTATTGCCTCAAATGCTCTACTACTCTTACTAGCTACTAATATATTTAATTATTGACATATCATATGTCTTCTGGAACATAGCTAATGGTTAAATCACATTCAAATACCAAAAATGACTGCTATGACTATTTGTTGAATCTCACTTCTAGTACTACTTCCAGCATGAAGGAAAAAGTGATCAAAGTGATCCACTAGTAGTTTGCACCTCCATACTGAGTTGAATTTGGTCATTCCCCTTAGTCTAGTTATGACCAATTTTTGTTGTATTATTGCATTCTGCTGCAGTATTCAATGGTTGAGAATGCAACCAAAAAGCTACTGAATGGCTGGTAGGCAAGAAGAAAAAGAAGTACCACAGCCTGTAGAAAACTACAGTAGAAAAATAAGTAATACCGTCTCAAAAGTAGGAGTATGCTCCACAGTATGGCTATTTGGGGTCATAGTAGGGTTATGTAGTACTTCTAGGAAGACAATTATGAGAATGCAATTTCAGTTGCATTTTGCGCATACTGTACGTACAAGGTAGTAGGAAGGCAAACGTGTGGACCGAATGTGAGACAGGTTATAATTCCAAAAAAACCGCGCAGTTTTTCTAGTAAAAAAACCCACCAGCATGAGGGTTGTCTCACCCTCCAGACAGAGCTATTAGGGACACTTCCACTCCACACATGTACTGGAATAACTTCATTCTTACTATAATACGAAGAAGGGGATCCGGAATTGATCCGCCAAGTGGTTTTTTCTTAAGAGCCCTCAGTATCCCCAAGGTGTGTAGAATCCTACATATAAATTAGTACTACCAAATATTTCGATATAAAAATACTTAATGGTTTTTTTTAAAGTGAGACAGGTTCATGTTGTGAAGGCAAATGAGGTGTATTGTTCTCTCCGTAGAGCCGTGTACAATTTGTACTGACTCCGGACCTGTCACGGTCTCATTTGCCTTCCAACCTCGTACCAGTATCGATACAGTAGTACACGTGATTTATTTCGTCGAAGACACACAAAAATAACAAGAACGAAACCCATCTCATACTCAAATTTTCGGATTTTTCTTGTTAATGGGCCTACAATTAAGTCGTAAATAATATTGGTGATGGTGCGATGAAATCGCAAGTTTCTCGACCCACGGATCCGAACAGCAATTCGAGAACTAACCCACCTTTTCAGCGCCATTCAAATTAAGTGCTGTGAAGTTGAAGGTTGCCACCTCTAAAGGGAAAAAAGAAGCTGTGCTTCTGGAGTAGAGTCGTGCTGTCGAACTTGCTCGCGAACCTTTCCAGGAATAAGAAAGCATTTCGATGTTCACCGACTGCTAAATATGAAGATTTGGAATCAACTGAGTGGAAACAGGAGAATACTAGACTTCGACGTTAGGAATTGGGCGGTCCCAGAAGTCAACGTTTCCTTTACTCTCAGGTTGGAAGGATTAATTCATGTTAGCACCGACGAAAAGCATCAATCACTTCAGAGGAATTTGATACGACTTGAAAAAGCGAAAAAAAGAAGAGACATTTTGAATTTGATCATCCACTATAGTTGTTGTGTCGACAGAATCCAACTCGAGGCGATCGAAGCACTAGCTAAAAGTGATAATAGATATTGGGAGTCCTTCACAATTGTCGGAATCAATGAATTTGGAGGTTTTTACTCTCCTCAGGCTTCTTCGGAAGATATACAATATCTCTATCAGGCTTTTGAGAATGTTAAGGTACTTAACCTTCACAGCTGTACTCTCCATAGAGGACACGGGCTTGAAATGATGCTAACGAACATTTCGTTGTTTACGAGTTTGAAAGAGATACGCCTTCAGGGCTGGCAAATTGATCGAATTTCAGCATCGACACTGATTAATAGTTTACAACCGAAAAAAAATGGGACAATGATCACGACCTTATCAATGAGGTCATGCCATTTCTTGGGAGATAGTGCTTTCCAAAAAATTGTTAGTGGCTTGAAATATGTCGAACACTTAAAAACTTTGGAAGCGAGTTGTTGCAATCTTGGTGATAATGAGATCATTTCATTGATTGAATCGATAAGAATCCACCCATGTATCGAGTGCGTCAACGTAGCAAAAAATCGGTGTCGAACTCAGGCTTCTGTATCCGCGATTACTAGGTGCATAGTTGAAAACGAATGTAAACTTCGAGAGCTGAATGTTCGGGGTTTGTGGACAGGATTTTCGGAAGAAGGACTTGAGCAACGATTTGTCGATCATGTACCATTTCTGACGGCGGTTGCTCAGAATTCAAGTTTGTCCAACTTGATTATATCGGAAAACTACCTGCTTAATGGTGAAATCCAACACCTTACTCAGTTGCTTTTATCCCGAGGTAGAAGCAACAATTTGTGCGTCTTAGATGTGGGAGCAAACCCTTTCGATGAAGCTGGGGCGAAAATGCTTCTGAACTTAGTTCGTAATTGCCAAAAACTGAAGGAGGTTAATGTTGAAAATGCATTTCTTCAGTACAAATGCAATGAGTTGATACAGATTCAAACAGAAACAAACTACTTCAACTCGTTCATGGGAAAGAGTCTTGACATTCCCTTATCACTATGGCCTCATGTACTCGCTCGTATCCAAAAAGGGACCCAAGAACAGATTTCAACTTCTTATGCAGAGCGATCGAAGAATCACATTTATCGATTGCTTCGAGCAACAACCGGTTCCTATGGAAAACAACTTTCTCATCGTATTGCGCTCAGTAGTACTCTGACATGAAGGAACAATCCTTAAAAATAATCTGATGTAGGTTAATGTAGTATGTGTGCACTTCATCAGGAATGATTTTACTCCTAAAGCTAAGACAGTATAGGAATGTTGTAGAAGACAAAAGTTCCGCTTCATCTCAGATTCTTACAACCCATGGTATCGTATCTGTTTGATTTTTTAAGAAGGCGGTCTGTATCTGCATGGCACGAAGGGTATGTGTCCTCTCTAAGCTTCGAGTGATTTACACCGTAGTATATATAGATAGCAAGTCCACATGTTAGCCAAACAGCGCAGAGAAGCCAGGAGGATAACGGAAGCCCCCCCATTAGCATTGTGTTCAAAGCCACGCCCCCAAGCTATGGATAGGATAGAATTCGTCCGATCATGAAATAAAAAAAATGAGAAAGAACCAATGTAGCTCCACTAGAAGAAGCATTTGATACCTAACGCCCAAATTTATTCGACCATTTTGCAACGTCAAACTTACCGGGATGATAGGAAAACACGGGCACTCGAAATGTGTCGACAACGTGATGCTTCGATGTTTCAATGTCCAAGAATCTGGGGTGTAGCAAATCAAAACTCCACACAGCAAGGCAATTCCTGCAAAGAAAAGAAGCGGGGCTCTGCTTGACGACGAGCCCAATAAATTATGAGACAAAATGAACGATGCTCCAAGAACGGAAGCCGTGAACAAAATTAGCAATCTGATGACTCGTTTTTGAGGATTGTTTGCTGTGACGGGAGATTTTGCTCCTGCTTCGTTTGCTGTTGTATTTTCATAGTCTACATCACTGTCCTGTGATATCTTTTCCGATACATTTCCTAATCTCAACAGTATGACTCCGGCATCGACGAATGTGAAGACCATCAGTGTGCCAAGGGATATCAAATTCGCGAGGGCTTCCAGAGGTACGAAACAAGCAATCAAAGCTGCCACGAATCCTGTCATCAGAATTCCTTCTGACATTGTCTGGTTTGATAGTTGAAAAATACAAGACTGTTGTGTGAACGAATGCATTTTTACGAGATTTATCGAAAATGAAGATGCCAGAGCTACAAACTCCAACTCACCTGCGTTTCAGGATTGACTCTTAGAATTGATAACGTAAAACATTATGATCGGTTGTGTTGTGTAGAAAATAAAATGCAACGGAAGGTAAGCAATAAGAAAGTTAAAGTGCTCTCTCACTCAATTTTTCTTTGCTTTTCAGCTTGAGAAATCGTACCTAGCAAAAAGTGGGAACCATAAACCATCCAGTGCCATGCGATAAAACTGCGGGGGTTTAGTGGCAGGAATTTTTCAAGAGATCGAGAACAAGAGAAAGAAATGGCTATGAGCATTGCGCGTTGTACATAGGTATGATTGTATCGATGCGTATCCAGCGTATCCAACCCAAAACTGTATTACTTACAATTCTAGGCTGACCCATCAAGCTAATCGAAAAGAAAGAAAAAAAACACAAAACTTGGTCAGCAATGTGTCCTCAATGTGTCATTTGCATACACGATCGTCATCAACAGCATATCCCGAGTTTGGTTCGATTGTGCCGAGATTCCTTTCCGATGCCTGCTAGTGCTCGTGCCTACCTTGTGAAGCACGCCGCCATCAATCCAAACCCCGCACCTCCCGAAACAACGCGACTCACAAAGGCCAACATCGGTTTTTCGAACGCCGGGCAGTCCTTGAGGCATACGCCAACGTCCTCGTTCTCGCTCTGCACCACTTCCATTTGTTCGGAATGCGTGCAGCAGGCATTAGCCAGGATGGCATTCACCAGGGGTGTCGTCTCGCCGAGAAATGAGAGTGGGGTCATCCCGACAACCGCGAGCGTCACCCCGCAATAAATCAAGGTCGACAATAATAGTGACCCCACAATTCCGATGGGCATGTTTCTTTCGGGATGAACGACTTCTTCGGACAAGCTGGCCACCATGTCAAATCCGATAAAGGCGTAAAAGACTAGACCGGCCCCGCGCAAAATTCCGGGCATGCCGGATGGAGCAAAGGGGGTCAGATTGTCGGTAGGTTCGATCGATCCACTGGTCACCGCCGAGACCACAATGAGGGCCAAAATAAAGAGATTCGTGATGCAGATAAGGTTGTTGAAGGTCGAGCTGTCCTTGGCTCCCCGGAGCAAGACAATGGTCGAGACGATCACAATGACCACCGACAGAGGAGAACAGGTGTAATCTTCCCCCAAAACAGAAGGAAAAAAAAGCACCTCGGTGAAGTAGGGAATGATCCAGTCGGCACCGGTTGCCTTGACCATGAAATCTCCGACGTAATCCGCCCACGCCCGAGCCGCAACGCTGGCAGTGAAGCCATAGCCCAGAATCAGGTTCCACCCGACACAAAAGGCGTAGACTTCTCCAAAGGCAACGTACGTATAGATGTAGGCCGATCCACTAGCGGGGATCAAGCTCGAGAACTCGGCGTAGGCAAGGGCCGTCAGCGTGCACGACAAGCCGCACCCCAAAAAGCTCAGGGAGATTGCGGGTCCCGCGAGCTTGGCACCGATGCCGGCCAGGATGTAGATTCCGGCACCGACGGCCGACCCCAGGCCATACAGGACCAGATCTATCGCGTTGAGCGACCGACGGAGGCTTGCTTGTGTTCCTTCGCCACTGTTCCCGTCTCCGCAGCCGTAACGAGCATCCGACAGGCTCTTTTTGCGATGCATGGCATCGAAGAGCTGGCGACTGATCATCGTTGCGTCTTTATTCTACAATGCTAGTCTAGTTCAGTATTGTTTGCTCGCATTCGTATCGGTATTGTGGTATTTTTGGTTTTTGTTAGTGCCGCTTGTGCTGCTTGTGGAGCTTTCTTCTTCTGAAGAATTCGTGACGAGTGGTGCAATACTGTTCAGTTCATTCCACAGCGTGAAGGTTGAAAAGACTTCATAGTACCTACTTTTTACGGACGAGTACGTACTTGAACTCGTTTTTCGTTGTTTCGTCCTTCATTGGAAGTGACATCATGGTGACACTTTGAAATATCCAGTCACGAATTTTATTCCCGTTCGATAGTTGTGTGTGGGGGGGGGTCGTCACCAATTCGCGCACAAACAAGTGTCAAATGGTTGGGTTGTTTGTTTCTCTGTTTGATTTTTGATTCTTGTTGACGTGTACGGGTAAATCAGTACAATACAATACGCGTACTCGTACGCATTGGTAGGGAAAAACTTTCTCATCGGAAAATGGAAAACGCACGCTGTCTGTCCGCTCATACCAAAGTAGCCTACGTACAACATAGAAAGCAATCTACTTACAGTGCGGTACTATACTATGGCACGTACTGTTTTCTGATGTGTTTTCTTGCAGGATCGCGCATCATATGGAAGTTCGAGGATAGAAACAACGAAATGAACATCTGTGTCGGTGTACGCCATTATTGTTAGTCGAACAGAGTCGTTGTTGGCATCCCTCCCGAGCAATCCTTACCACACGCACAACTCTCCATTGGAAAAAAGACGACAGAAGCTAGCTCGCGACTAAGTACCTCCGAACATTATTATTTTGTTTTATTCGCCACAATACGACCACGATGTTTCGCCCATTGCCCACGTCGTCCGTTGCATCGGTTTCGTCGATCCTGCTTTGTGTCTCCTTTCTAAGCCAAACGACGCAACCATTCACCGCAAAACCAAGGGTTGCAACCACAAAAAACATACCGTCATCACCGCCGACAGAACTATTCTCTTCAGCTGCAGCTAACCCAACTTCGGAGATCCCCGAGCTAATGCTATTCAATTCCAAAACACGATCGAAAGAACCATTCCAAACCCTCTCCCCTAGAAAAGTTGCGATGTATACCTGCGGTCCAACCGTCTATGATTACGCACACGTGGGGAATTTCCGGGCTTTTCTGACCTACGACCTGGTCAAGCGCGTCCTGTTGTACTTTGGATACGACGTCGAACACATTTGCAACCTTACTGACGTCGACGACAAGATCATCAACCGTGCCAACGAGCAGGGCCTCGCCGTCGGAGCCATAAACGACCTGACGTTGAAATTTGAAAACTACTTTTTCGACGATCTCAAAGCCCTAAACGTCATGATGGCTGACCGGTACCCGCGGGCGACGGAACACATTCCGGAAATGATGGAAATGATTCTACAGCTGGCCGAAAAAGACCTGGCCTACGAAACCGAGGATGGATCGTGGTACTTCGCAACCTCCAAGAAAGAAGGGTACGGAGAACAACTCGTTCAGCTGAATAAGGACGACATGGAATCGCAGCAAGACGATACTGCCGTTGGAACCGACATGAAGCAGGATCCCAGAGACTTTGCGCTGTGGAAGGCCTTCAAATCTCCCGATCGCGAGGACGCCTCCTGGGAACACCCCGACGGAAAAATAAAAAAGGGACGCCCGGGATGGCACCTGGAATGCAGTGCGATGGCCCGAAAGTACCTCGGGGACACGCTCGACATCCACGGAGGTGGCTGCGATCTCCAGTTCCCCCACCACGAAAACGAAATCGCCCAGTCGGAGGGGGTCACCGGAAAACCCTATTGCAACTACTGGGTTCACAACGGATTCGTAAACATCAATGACGAAAAAATGTCCAAGTCCCTGGGTAACTTCCTTACCCTGAGGACAGCATGTCCCAAGGCCGTCGATGTGCGGGCCTACCGGTTTTTCGTCATGAGTTCGCAGTACCAAAAACAACTGGGCTTCACGGCCCAGGCAATGGATGCTTCGAAGAATTCCTTGAAAAGAATCGACCGGGTGATGCAACAAATCGAAGATGCTGTTGGCAGAAACAAGGAAAATGCCGACGGCGAACCGCAGTCGTCGTCTACACTGAGCGACGCGGCATCCAAAGCGCTCAAGAATTTCGACCTGGCACTCCTGGACGACCTGAGCATGCCACGCGCCTCTGCCTCGCTGTTTTCCTTGGTCAAGGCCACTGAAAAAGAGTTCAAGCGGGTTAAAAAGGACGAGACCGCAACACTGGATTTGAAAGGCCTCGCGGAGGTTCAAAGTGCTTTGTTACAGATGGATAAGGTATTTGGGATCTTTTACGATGTTCCTCTCACCAAGGAAGAAGAGGAAGCACTTGCAGCATCCGGCAGCAGCGACAGCGAGGGAGGAGCTACTGAGGTCTCCGACGAGGTTATGGAATTGGTCGTTCAACGAACCGATGCCAAGGAGGCCAAAGACTGGGAACTCGCGGATTCTCTGCGGGCCCGGATCACAGAACTCGGTTTTGCCGTCAAGGATGTCAAGGGAGGCGATCCAATAGTTACGAAAATAGAATAGTTATGCGAGATTCAAGTTATTTAGACGGAGATTATTAATAAATAAACGACACCGATACTTGCACAGTTTTTCTAGAACGGCAACGTTTACGAAACACAGAACATCTAAAGTACTGTATTTCCTACTTGTCACAACATTTGTGGTCAAAATGAACTTTTCGCGGAGGATCCATTCATAGTTGTTCCTTCATATGATTGGTTCCTATTTGGACAATCATATCATCATGTAGTTGGTATCTGGATTGTGTCAAAGATTACTCGTCCTGCAATTGCTACCGGGTACTACTACTACGTGTTGTTTTTGAAATTTAAGTTGGTCCATTTTTTTTAATCCGTCCGTCCTCGGTCCGTCACTACCGATGGATTATTAGAAGGACGATCGCAGCGCAGCCACCGAAGAGAAAAAATAACAACAAAACTTGCGCGACGATTGTTTTTCAGATGATCGATCCTTGATGGCAAGTTAGTTCTAGACGATGTGTGTCTGGGTGAAAATCAATGCAAGTCGCAGAGATCCGGGAGATCGACGCACTTAGCTTGGGTGCCGTGCCATTTCATAGAAGAATCCCAACAACACCCAATAAATCCAGGTCTTTAATCCATCGCCTGTTGGGTCCTAACACTACCTTTCATATTACAGCACTTCTGGCGAAAAGAAAACGTAGCAGGGAACAACATAGAGCGGCTAGAAAAGCGATCAGTCCACTATGGTGTTTTCTGTCAATCCGAACAAGACGATTGTCCGAAAGCAGATCAATGCCATTCAGTTCGGGTGCGTTCGTTCCGTGTTCTGTTTTTGCTCAACATCATTTGCTTTGAAAGTTGTCGTTGTGATTAATTCCCAATCTATTTCAACACGTGTATTGTGTCTCGTCTTCCCCTCCGCAATCCAAACTTGTATACCAATACACTCAAACTGATATGATTCGTTGCTCGTTCATTTCAAACTACCAGGTTTTACACCGATGAGGACACTCGAGCTCGTAGCGTCTGCGAGATCACCTCGAGCATGGCAGTCGATCCTCTCGGAAGTCCCCTTCCGAACGGTGTGTACGATCCTCGATTGGGACCATCCTCTGCCGATGCCCCGCCCTGCCCAACTTGCGCGCAGCGCTACATGACTTGTCCTGGACATTTTGGACACATCGAACTGTGTGTCCCTCTCTATCATCCCTTATTGTTTTCCAATCTGGTAGAGTTGATGCGCATGAAATGTCTGCATTGCCACAAACTGACAATATCCTCTCGGGAATTGAATGTGTACAGGACAAAATTCTTGTTGCTGGAGCACGGGGAATACAACAAAGTTCAAGACTTGGAAAACCAAATGGCAGCGAAAGTCAAGGAGGTCAAGGAAGGAGGTGGCGATGGCGAAAAAAACAAAAGTGCGAGTGCACAAAAGGCTCTTACCATGCACAATGCCGGATTGGCCATCGACGAACTCCTCGCCGAGATTCAAAACACTTACAGGGGCCGACGAAGAACTCGTAATAAGAAGACGGCTGCCGATTCCGTCTTTGAGGAAGAATTACGACGCCAGCTAGTAAAGGAGGTCGTTGTGGCTTGCAAGGCGGCGAAATCATGTCCCCACTGCGGAGCCTTTTCCCCCAAGATCCGACAGGATTCGAGCAACAAAATTTTCCAATCCCCGCTCTCTCTTGCAGGGAAGCGCGCAAATGCCTCGGAAGGGATTCGATTGGAGTCGGCTATGGTGAAACAAAAGGATGATGACGATTCGATGAACGGAAACGACTCGGAGGAGTTCTATTCTGCAATTGAGGACAATACTAACGAGGAGGAGGTGAACGACGATAGTGACGACGAGATGCAGGCTAACACCGGGAAAGACAAATACATGCATGCATCTGAAGTGCAAGCTCAGGTTCGACGGACGTGGGCCACCAACCCAATGTTGTGTAATTGGCTCTTTGCGGCCCAGGGTCCCGAGATTTTCTTCGTCCAAGCCGTCCCTGTCCCTCCCAACCGGTTCCGCCCACCTATGCATTTGGGCGGAATGGTGGTCGAACACATTCAAAACGGTTATCTCAATAGTATTCTTCAGGCAAACGAAATTTTGAGAAACAATTTTGCCTCCAAGAACGAAGCACGGGCGTACACGACCTGGATTGAGTTACAAACCCACTTCAATTGCCTTATCGATTCGTCCAAGGATCCTTCCTCGAATCCGAATCCTCCACTTGGTATTCGGCAGCTGCTGGAACGGAAGGAGGGAATATTCCGAAAACATATGATGGGGAAACGTGTGAATTATGCCTGTCGTTCCGTCATTTCTCCTGATCCGTATATTGGAACCAACGAGATTGGTCTTCCACGATATTTTGCAGAAACATTAACGTACCCAACGCCCGTTACAGACATCAATATTGGAGAAATGAGAAACTTGGTAGAACGAGGACCCTTTCAGTATCCAGGGGCTCGGTGGGTAGAATTTCCCGACCGTCGAGTTGACCTGAGTAAAATGGACGATCACAAACGGGAAGCAGTTGCCGCTCGATTGTTAATGTATGCCAAGAAAGGTAGCAAACCAGCTATTGTGGGAAGGCAATTGAGGGATGGCGATATGGTCCTAATGAATCGACAGCCTACATTGCACAAACCTGGAATCATGGGTCATGAAGTGCGTGTCTTGCATGACCCTACACAGAAGACCATTCGAATGCACTACGCGAGTAAGTTTTCTTGATTTTTATTTTTTGGTTCGTCACAATCCAATCATGAACCATCACGTTTCTAACTTATTATTTTTTATAACCCTAGATTGCAACACATACAATGCCGATTATGATGGTGACGAGATGAATTGTCATTTCCCACAGAGCGATCTTGGTCGAGCAGAGGCGGAATACATTGCGAAAACGGATTTGCAATTCATCGCTCCAACAGACGGGGCACCTCTGCGTGGGTTGATTCAGGACCACGTTGTTGCTGGTGTAAAGTTAACTAAAAGAGATACATTCTTAGACAAATGGGAATATCAGCAACTGATGTTTGCAGCCTTGGTCAGTCTTCCGCGACTGGAACTCATACGGTCGGATGCAAAGATTGAATTGTTACCTCCTGCTATCCTAAAACCAAAGCCAATGTGGACCGGAAAGCAAGTTATCTCAACATTGCTAAACCATCTCAGGAAAGGAAATGATCGAGATGCTCCTGGTCGTGGGCCTATGCCAGGAATATCTACCGAGCGCAAGGCAAAGACAGCAGGTGCAGCTTTTGGGAATAACTTGGAGGAGCATCTAGTTATTATTCGTGATGGAGAATTGCTACGTGGAGTGTTGGATAAGGCAGCGTATGGTGCAACGGACTTCTGTTTGATACACGCCGTCTATGAAGCATACGGGCCTGCAAAGGCTGGATTACTCTTGAACTCTCTTGGTCGGCTCTTCACGTCGTACATCCAATTTTATTCGGGTCACTCGTGTAGAATGGAAGATCTCATCTTGACAAAAAAAGCAGACCAGACCCGCCGAGAGCTTATTTTGAAGGCATACAATAACGGTGCTCGAGCGGCTAAGGCATGGGCTGACTCAGAAGGTGGAAAGGTGGCAATGGAAGTTGACCAGAAAACCAGCAACCGATCACTCAAGCCTGTCGAGGCTGCTTCTGCTGCTTCAAAAGTTCGTCAGTTACTTTCAGGAAGCGAAGGGAAAACAAACCACGAAGCTCTCGATGGTTACATGATGTCGAAACTAAATCCGTTAGCTTCGGACATTGTTAAAGCGTGCCTTCCAACCGGACTAGCTGTTCCATTTCCAGCAAACACGTTTGGTATAATGTGCGGTACTGGTGCGAAAGGATCAATTGTGAATCAATCGCAGGTGTCGTGTGCGCTGGGACAGCAAGCTTTGGAAGGAAGACGTGTCCCAAGACTTGCAAGCGGACGAACCTTACCATCGTTCGCTCCTTACGATGTGAATCCAAGAGCTGATGGATTTGTGATGGATCGTTTTTTGACAGGTATTCGACCTCAGGAATACTATTTTCATTGCATGGCTGGTAGAGAAGGATTGGTTGACACAGCTGTTAAAACTTCGCGTTCTGGTTATCTTCAACGATGTCTTGTGAAACATCTCGAAGAATTGAAAGTTAACTACGATTATACCGTGAGAAATGGCGAGGGGGGAGTTGTGCAATTCCTTTACGGTGAAGATGCTCTTGATCCCACTAAGGCATCTTACCTTGACTGCTCTGACAAATCTTTCACTTTCATGGCAAGAAATCATGCGTCGCTCAAAAAAGGCCGGCCGCCTTTGCCAGACACGTCACTAAAGATTGCCGCTAGAGATGCACAAAGGTCTGAACAACTTAAAAGGAACCCAGAACAACCGCTTCAAGTTGGTGACTTTGTTCATGCCAGGAAAATACGTGTTGGATCAAAATGGGTCAGAGGAGCGATTTGTGAAGGATGGTTTGATGCTACAGTTGTCAAAAGGCACAAGAACAATACCTTTGACATCAAGTATATGAAGGATGGCAAGAAAGTAAAAAACGTGCCACTGGAGGTGGAGTTTTCTAGGAACAAGGCATGTTCTAATACATGTGTTGTTTTGAAACCCGCCATTTCTGATCCGGTGTTAAATATAGCAAAAGGAACGCAGAGAATCGGTAGTAGCGGGGCTTGCGTGTCAGAACGAATTGCCGAAAAGGCATCTACGATTATGCGGGAGAATGAGGAGTTGAAAAAGGCCATGAAAAGTTACAACATTTCGAATCATGAATTCGATTCCTTGGTTGCTGCCAAGTTCTCTTCTGCTCTGGTTGATCCCGGCGAAGCGGTTGGTGCGATTGCAGCCCAGTCGATTGGTGAACCTTCTACGCAAATGACTCTGAACACATTTCACTTGGCAGGAGCCGGTGCAAATGTAACCCTAGGTATCCCTCGACTACGAGAAATTATTATGACAGCGTCTAGGGAATTAAAAACTCCAACCATGTCTGTTCCACTCCACAAGGAGGTGACAGATTCTGAGACAACAAGACTGACTAGAACATTCACAAAGCTAACTCTCAACGAACTAATTGCAGCTGAACGAGGTGTTACCACTAGAGAGACACTGATGCGGAGTGATAGTGGAGAGTGGCAGCGTGCCTATTTCGTGACACTAAAGCTGCACCCAGCCGAAAGAATCAAAACTGCGTTTGGTCTTACTCTTCAAGATGTTGCTAAAGTTGTTGCCAAGACATTTGTCCCAGGTTTGTCATACCAGATGAAACTAGAGCTTCGTAGGTCCTCTTCCGATTATGACGGAGATCTTACTGTCGAGGGAGGGGAAAGTTCTAATTTCACACAAGTCGAAAAGAAAGAAGAATTTGATAACAAATCAAAACGAGATTCTTTGTTTGAAGACGACGATGATGATAATGATGACGCGGACGACGCCGTGGATGAAGAAGATGGGGTCAAAGCTTCGAGAATTCAATCGGATAATTACGACGAGGATGATGACAATGATGATAATCTAAGCGAAAGCGATGATGATGAAGAAGAAGACGATACACCTACACAGGTATCATTTTTAGGAGATTCAGTTAAAATTGATACAAAAACGAATACCATTCAACTTCAACCGCTTCGAGTAGACCCTTCCTCTCGACCTTTGTTGATGATTGGCCTTGTCGAAAAAGCGGCGTCAAAGACATTAGTTCGATCAAAGAAGAACATCGACCAAGCGTTTGTCAATGAAGAGGAAGGCGGACGTGGTCGGTGTCTGCAAACTGCTGGTATCAACTTCACTGAAATGTGGAAGTTAGATAACGTCGATCACAGTAGACTCATGTCAAATGACATTTGGGCAGTCCGTTGTTCATATGGTGTTGAGGCAGCTCGTAATACGATTGTTGATCAAATCCGATCCGTTTTCGGCGTTTACGGTATCGAAGTTGACCCACGTCACTTAAGTTTGATCGCTGACTACATGACCTTCGGAGGAGAATACACACCGATGAATCGCACTGGAATGCGAGAGTCTAGTTCTCCATTCCTGCAGATGAGTTTCGAAACAACAGCTCAATTCATGACGCAGGCTGCTTTGACATTGGGATCTGATAAAATGAACAGCCCGAGTGCAAACATCGTTGCCGGAAGACCTATTCGCCATGGAACAGGATCATTTTCTCTGCTTGTAAAATAATACCAGCTATTGAATACGAACATCATGACATTTCACTTGGAGTGTCTGTATCCACTAATCGAGTTTTATTTTCATGCTTCGATACGTAGAAAATTGGTTTGTCTGTTAGATACTACTAGGGCATGATACTATGATCGACTAAAACGTTCGGTATCGGAATAATACAATAAAATCAATGTTTAAACATTCAATTTGTCCCCTTCGAATACGAAGGTATTGATACAAACGAGTTTCATGGGTTCTGCTTTTCATAATATGGCATTTATATCCAGAGGTAAACTATGTGGTGACTGAACATCAATTGTCCTAAGTTTTTCATCAAAGATAAAATAATGAAAAAATCACGCGAGACGGGAGGGAGTTATCGATATGACTCTCTCTCAAATTGAATAAGTTTTTGAATGCTCTGGTTTGCAGACCCTCAAATTTTGTTCGTCTGCAGCTTGTTGTGAAGTCCATACATAATTGAAGATTTCAAAGTGGGCTCTGATGATTTTCAACTGAGCACGAATCAATACTTGATATCGCTTCGTAATAGGAGGCACGAATCAAAATCTGCCTGGTTTCACTCAAGAAGCTAAAATAACATCGCGGGTGGTATTTTGATGATATCCATCAGCACAACGGGACTCATTCCTTCATTTGCTTGCCCAAGGATTGCTCGTTTTGCTTGTATCCTCCATGAACAAACTATTCAGCAGATTGGAATTCAGCCATTTCGTGTCATCCGGAGCATTTGTAACTTCGGCGGCAAAATCTGGAATTATCGAAGATACGGGATTCCCATGGTGAATGTTGCGGGTCATTCGGGTGTTGTTACTCGAAACGGAAAATGACGAGGGGGGCATTTCCATCGCAAAGGGATTTGCAGTTCGCATGTCGCCAAATATAAGAGTTGACTCCTCTACGCTGGTTGGTAAATTTGAACGACCAGTCTCCAACGGATAGGGTGAGTTTTGGTAAAGAGACCTTTCCATCAAGCTAGGGACCGGTTCGACGGAACGTTGCTGTTGTTGAGGCATTTGATATAAAAATGAAGAAGTTGCTGCAGTGGCATTGGCTTGCATGACTTTATCGAGGGCATCTAGACCATGCGAAGCTACAGGCGGATAAGCAAAACCAGTGACATTTGTTGTTGGATTGGTGGTCATTGCAGTCATATGCTTGTCATTCACCGTAGTTTCACTGTAATTTGGTGCAGGCTGCGTTGGAGCAACTCCGAAGCCAGGAGGAGGTTTTAGCATGGAGGGAATAACTGGATTCGATGATTTCTCCTCCTCCACAACCGCCATGACCACATCATCTCCATTCTCAGGTTCTTCCACAGGTTGAAGTGGGGGTTTCGGCTTCTCTATTACGTCAGTCGAAGAGAGAGGTGCAATCGTGATGCCATCACGATTCATTGTTTGCGGTGGAGCACCGTTAGTAGGAGTTTCCTTTCTATTCTCAGTAGAGATGATCAGGTCACCAGCTTCGTCGTCATCGTCATCGCCAACGAAACCACAATTTTCTTCTTGTGACTCGATTTCCTCTTGGTTGATATGGTTATTGTCACTATCACCCAAGGATTCTCCAGGAGAGGAAGAAGAATTTTTTTGTTGATAGTTGTAAGTACCATTTTCCGATGTCAGAGGGGCCAACGAATTTGCAGATGCGAGTTCGTCGCAAACTTCGATCATTCGAAATAACCTGGCTACATTCTCTTGAGCCCCCCCGCCGCCACCTCCTGAGGTACTCAAGGTAGATGCCGCGCACGTATCTTGCGATTGAGAAGGAGCCGTGAGCTCTAAAACATCTACGGCCTCGATCGCATCAAGCAAACCATCTTCATTTGATAGGTATTCCTCGTTCACAATAGAAAATGGACGATAACCCTTGAGAAGCTGGTATTCCTTGATTCTTGTCCAGTGAGGAGTGCTACTGCCCCCAATGATTCTACCTTTGCTGTCATCTTTGGTGCCACCATGGACAACTTGGTAGCCTTTAAGAACGTTGCGAACCTGATTTGCTACCTGCGAAACACGTTTCCAAAATTCAATTTCCGCCGGCTTTTGATCATCATGGAGTTTTTCTCCATTTTGGATCAGGCGAAGATTGCAAAAGTCTAACATCATTTCTAGGGGAAGCAAGCAACGTACCGATGGTGCTACTTTGTTCATCGACGCCTTTTCTAACGATTTGGCCAAGAGACCCTCAGTGTGTTCCGCCAAGACCAAACCCAGTGAGTAAAACAACTCCTTCCCCAACTCCAACGGCAAGTTTTCGACAGTTCCGCCCAGAGCATCCGTATCAGGGCAATCGATGGCTCTTTCCAACGAAAACGAATTGATGACCACAATCTTGCAAAGCAGAGAATCACTGAACCCGGAAGCCTGCACCAAAGATTTCAACGACGCCGTCACGTTTCTGATATTTTTTCGCGATTGATCATGGTAATTGGAATCCAAAACTTTTAAGTTCGTATTTTTCGATGACTGTTGTTGCTTGAGTAAGTACAAATCATAGTGCAAGTCTACAAAATGTGTCAAGCAGGACTTGCTCACAGCGACCTTTTGTGCACGTAGCATGCTGTTGTTCTTGTTGTTGGATGAGTTGGTTTTGATATTCTTGTTCTTGCCGCTGCCTTTGTGACTGCTGGCGACAGAAGCTTGGGACAGCACCATGGGCACACCAGAATTCCGCCCGTGTTCTCGGAGGAATTCACGGTTCGACGCAAAGAGACGCTCGAGATTATTGGAGGAGGTCGAGAATCGTTCGTGAGTCGCCAAGAGAGACCGGGCATACCAGTACAGGGCAACACAGTAGGTTTCCTTCGAAAAGGCCACGACGGCGAGCTGATTGTAGGGGTTTCCAAGGCCCGGGCCGAGCTTGGAAGCATTTAAGTAGTTGCTTTCGGCCTTGTTGTATGCTTCCGCGTAGCGATGTAGATCTCCCATAAAGATGTAAAGCTTGTACAAGCCGTGGACGACACCTTCAACTTGTTCCGCTGGTTCGGCAATAATTGCGGTTGTCGATTGAGATGCGTACTGAGTGTCCTCCAGCTGACTTCTGTCGTAAGTAGTGTATGTATCTTTCGATTGTTGGGTCATGCTACAATCCTGCTGAGTACTGGAAGGACAGAGCTTGGAAAGGTACTGAAGGATCAAGAAGTCATACAGAGTAACTGCCTCTGACAAGAAGTTCTTGAATCCTTCCTGGGTGGTGGTGAGGTTTGGAGAGCGCTTGCGTTTCTCTCTCGAGACCCGCTGCCTCCAGATCCGGATCGGATTGTAAAAACAACATCTCCAGAGGCGCTGAAAGCAATCCTTTTCAAGTGAAAGCTTCGGGCTGGAAATCAAGACATCGCTGAGGACCTCGCACAGGTGGGATCGAAGTCTGTAGGGTTTGTTGTCATCGCCTTGGGCTTTGCTGTTCGTGCTCATGAGAGCACCTAGTTGATCCTCCAAGTCGGATGCTTTTGCCAACTGTTTTTCGAGACGACGAAGCTTCTCTTGTTCTGACTCTTTTTTCGATTTGAAAACTCTAGCACCGGCTTTGGATCGTTGCCTCTGCTCCTGGTAATTGTTCTTCGAGACATTATTCGGCATTGTCGAGAATGAACGAATTGAGATTCAATTCAGTTCAAGTTATTACAATTCGATTGCCTTTTCCTCCATTCAATTTCAATTCCAGTCAGTTCAATTCGATAAACACTTTTTCGCACACTCTTTCTTTGGCAGCGTTTTGTCGACCAATTCTCTCAACTTTTCCAGCTGCTTTTAGGACAAACTTCCGACTGCCAGCTTCAATGGGAGTAATTACAACAACGAGGGAACGAACAACCGAATCAAGTCGAATTTAAATAGCAATTTCAATCGCAATCGCAATCGCAATCCACTTCAATTCAATTTCAATCAATTCCAATCTCACAAGGATGCGAATTAGATTGATCAGCGTCAATACATGCTAGTTTTGCTTCTCGACTATGGGGTGTGACTCTCGATGCCGTAGCTTTTCAATATGGAATGTAATAGTAAGCATGTCTGTGCTCACTACACTGCTCTTGTACCTCTTCCACCTTGATGGACGGATGGGAAAAATTTCATTATTACTGAATTAAAGTACAGCAATAATTTTTCCTTTATTTATTAGAAGTATTGTGTTCCCCAAGCAAGACGCACGTGGTCAGTCGACCGATTGTACGGTACGGAGAGGTTCGTAGTACAGTAATAAGACATAAAGCATAAAGTAGTACGGTAAGGTAGAAATATTCGTACTTTTTATTTCCTGGCTTCACGATACGACAGTGCTAGTGACTGTGACAGACGAGTTCGTACTACTCACTCTTGCAACGAAGTACTAAGTCGTCATTATTATTTCTTCCCACCAGCAAATCTATCTCACTCTGCACTGCGTTACAGACGCGGAAAATACGTTTAATTATTGTACCGGGAAACTGTTCCTGAATGAAAGAAACATCACTTGAATTTCACTACGGTACTTACGTTCCGTACCGTGAGTTTATTCTAGTACGCTATGTGTTGGAGCAGCCACGCCGCCACGACATACCGTACAGATTTGTTTACCCAACTTGTATCTTTAGTAGGAATCCCCAGGGTACCTACTAGCTAGTACGCAGTAGTACACAACACAGCATTTATCCAACGAGTCACGAATGGTACAGAACAAAGTTTTTTGTTTTTAATATTGGTTCTCTACACACAACAAAAATAAATGGTCCTTAAATAGATCAAACGAAGACTACTTGAAAAATAAAAATAAGATCGCCAATTTTTCAGATCAGTCACATTTTTTTGTCGACCAGGACAGATGGCGTGGGAAACAGGCGGTTTTCAGGAACATATTGATGGCAATAGAGAAAAAGAATACAGGCAAAATATGATCAAAAGAAGCAGACCAAATATAGAAGCATCTGCCTACGGAAAGAATTCTTCAATAGAGAGGGACTTGGATAGTGACAGCCAGAGATAGTCGACTCACTTCAGCGTTGTCAAATGACACGATCTTACAAAAAAAATACAACTAGTCCGTATTGGACAAACAATTGAAACATCGGGGCAGATATTGCGCGGCGTGAATTATTCTGTTCGTCTATCGATTAGCGATGGTGTCAACTTGGAACCCCACCGGTGCAATTTTGGTCTTTCTCTTTTTTTCCAGTAGATCGCCACAAAACTCATCCGTTTTGCCTTCTGCAGAGGCATATCTTCCAACAACAACAACAAATCATCGTCGTCATCATGGTTGTCGTTACTTTCAAGCGATTCCCAAACAAGAAGGCAAAAACAGCAATAAGAAAAGTATCAGAAAAAGGAAGACCACTACTTCATTGTCTACGATATCATCCATATCGTCATCTCTATTTGAACGACCTTCGTGGCTCCAGTGCGATCCTTTCCCATATGCACAGCTTGATGTTCAGGGGCAGCAACCTTACGTGAAACCTTTCGAAGATTACCACGACCAAGAGGAAAATTATTTGCACAATCAACAGCAGCAACCATCGGAACGAATTGTTTCCTATGACACAGGTGGCGACAGCTACGGTCAACCGATTGATCCACCGGAACTGTCTGTGGGCCGAGGGAGGAGCAACAAGAACAAACAGAGCAAACATTATCCCAACATCCGACCGAGTGGAGAACTGGGACAGCCAGAACAGAAACGAAAACATCGAGAACCGGATTTGCAACGCATACAATCCTATACGACAGACGGAAAGAGCTTCGCCCAACCCATTCGACCGCCCAAATCTTCGGTAGGGCGGGCGAAAACTAACAACAACAACAACAACAGAAAGAGAAAGTATTTTGGAACTGGTGGAGAATGGACACAACTTCAGCAGCAGAATCAAGAAGAGAAAGAGCAGCGGCAATCCTATGCATCTGGTGGGAGCAGCTTCAAGCAACCCACCCAAGAACCCGAGCCATCGGTAGGACAAAGGAATGCGAAGACTCGATATAGCCAATTGGAGAAACAACAGCTCGACGGTAGTACAACAACGCAAGCCAAAAAAAATGCTTCCTTGCATTCCTATGGCACCGATACTGTCCAACCAATAGTTATGGATCATCAATTACCCTTATCCGCGTTGTCGTCTGACGTTCGAAGCCCGTTTTTGTCCGGATCAAAAAACTACTACAAGGCGAAACATTATTATGCTCCCAAAATTGAACGATCATTGACAATGGCGAATCAAGAAGGATTAAAGCCTTACAGTGCTATTCGTTCGAATAGTTCCAACTCGTCGGTCATTAAACAAGAAATTACTTTCCCACCAGCAGAGTCACCACCACCGCAAAGATTGGCAACGGAAATGGGTCGCGATATTGCCACTGCTGAGAGCATCAGCCCCTACCCTCGTGTTCAAACACAATCACCAATGCTTCTTGCGAAGGGACTAACAGCTGGCCGCTCACGATTCAACAGCTCCTATAAAACGCAACAAATCTATCCGAAAGTGAGAATACCGTCCCCTTTTTCGTTCCAACGGCGCACCCAAGGTAATGGCAGTCTGAACCCCTACAACGAGGGTGGAGTAAGTGGTAAGGAACCAAATGATCCACCTATTCAGAAAAAAGGGCGAATACCTCGATTCAAAGGCGTTCCTCGCCGTACGCAGATATCGCCATTCGTCAAGCCAAAATACAGTGACAGTGAAAAGACAAGCAGTAGTGGCGATATGTACACAAACGATAATCTATCGGAAGCATCATTGGATTACAGTACTAATTCCGACCTTATGTATACCGAGGAAAGTAGTAACACGTATGACAATGGCGTCAATGGTAATTTTTACGGTCAAGGTACAGGGGATGGGGTTTTTCGTAGTGTTGAAAGTTACAACGATGTTTATCAGGGCTTCGGAGGAGAAAACGCAATTCTGGACTATGGCCAGCGAAACGATGGATACGATCATAACGAGGAAGCAAGAGAACAATACCTCCAGGGACTCTATGACGGAGATGCCGACGACGATTGGTATAGCCAATCACATTCGTTTCAGATTCCAATTACCATTAACATTTGCGGAAGAGAAGAAATGAATCAGGGAAATGACAGCACCGAGCAAACTATCAATATTAACATCAATGTAAATACCAACGAAGGGGAAGGTTATTACGAATGGATAACACAACAATCATGACATGCAGCAGCAAAAGTTGTCTGGAGACTAAAAATCTGAGCGGAAGAGCAGGGAATCTTATCAGTTGTGAGCTTTTCATTTTTGTATCGATACACGAGTGACTGCATCGTGAAGAATAGAAACAAAAAATAATAGTATCTTGAGTGTTATGACTCTCATCTTCGAGTTGTGTATTCTAGTGATATACAGTACATTGTTCAAGTCACGCAAACACGTTGGAAATAACGAAGCTCTCGGACAGTGCATTGAATATTACCACTTTCAGATTCTAACTACATGGGGATCGTATTACTGATGAGATGAATTGGCTATACTAAATGTTGTAAATTTTTCCTGCAGCTCTTGTTTATGCTTTGCATTGAGAGCGTTTTCGAGCTTAGGCCTCCTCGGTAGTATCCTCTCCTTCGCTACTTTCGTCATCAGCACCTTCGGCACCAAGACTGCCAACACAGATAGCAGCCCGGACAACGTTCCCCTCTAATTCCATTCCCGGTTCTACCATTCTGAGGACCGTGTCCTTCTCGAAGTCGTTCGAGTTCTCAGACTCTAAAACCTTCATTCTAAAATTGTTGATTTTGTCTCCTGCTTGAATATCGAAGCTAGTGACGCCCAAGGTTGCAAAAGTCTGCTCCAGATTTAGCTCGGAGTACTTCCTGCCAAATTCATCCTCGCTGTAGGTCTCCCGGAGTGAATTGAGTGTGTCATAAATGGGCAAAAAGTCCTTGAGGACGGCAGCCGTTGCACTGGCTTTGCTGGTGGAAGCGATGTTCTTTAAGTTGAACAAAAATGCGCGTTGCGGTATAGTGATTGAGCAAGATCGGATAGTATTTGTGAATACGCGCGTTGATCCAGCAACGAAATGTTCAGGTCAGACCGAAAACATTTGCAAAGAGCGAAACCAAAAACGACACTGTTAGAGAAAGGATGACGGTGGCGGGCAAGCGAGTCGTAGACCCGAATTTGTGGATTGCCATCTTGAGGTGACAAAGTATTTGCGCATGTCTCCAATTGCCGCTTCGACCCTCCTGCCGCTTGCCAATTTCTATTGTAGTTCTACTCACACTTCGGACCCGCTTCATGTTTTCCATGTCAGCTACCTTTCGGGCGTATCCGCTCTTTGAATATTCCTCACATTTTTCCAATTCGTACTGAAGCTTGGACTTCTTGTCCGCCAGATTGCCCTCGAGCTCGGCGATGCTTTCCTTGAGGGCGGTAACCTCGGGATCTTCCGGTGTTTCTTCTTCCTCGGCCTCAGATGATTCTTCTACTTCCTCCGCAGCTTCGTCTTCTTCCGCCATCGACATGATGGATGTGACAGGCTGTGGCATCTTTGTCACAGCGACGCTTCCAAAGCGTCCAGGACTTAAGCCACCCAACGTAAAGGCGTCAACCTTTTGCTCCGAAATACTACCGATCAGGGCCAAGCAGAAGAAAAGTGATGCGAATGCAGTTGTCGTTGTTGTTGTTGCGCAAGTCATGCTCGTCGTGTTATATATTATAGGAAGTTCTCGTTGTGAAGCTTTTTGTTGTTGATTGGATGCTAGTTCGGCAGGATGATGTATGATCATACGGGTTTTTTGCCGAATGGATTCGATAAAGTTTTCTAGGGTGTCTACTAAATTGATGATGTGCTTTTTGAATTTTTCAGAAATACAAAACAGATGATGTTGTTGAACAGAGAAGTACCAAGTACGTGATAGTACCGTACGTACGCTACGCTAGGAGTATGATCCGTAATACAGTTGACCATGAAGGAGACTGAAAGAGAAACGCTGATTGCGGTCGATCAAACCAAAGATCCTACTCGTAGTATCGTGCGTACTAAGTAAGTAGTACGTACGTAGTCGGCAAAGGTACTACAACTACCAGCCGACGTGACTGATTGTTGACTGACTGACTGACTTTATGATCCGATGCAGGCCGACCGCACATTGCGATTCATCCAACCTCTCTTCGAAAATCGTTATTTCCTCTCTGCGTGACGTAAGAAGAACAGACTCAAGAAAAGCTAAAATAGAAACTTTCCATGAAATATTCCACGTAGAAGTATCATTTTCAGACATACCATACGGCACGGACAGGTTCGATGCAAATTGTAGATGGTTTCTACGTAGATTCTACGGTATCTACTCGTATCTCTACTACCAACCTTACGGTAAAGTACGACAATACGGTACGTACGTACGTATCGACCGGTCTCTCGAAAACATTGTCAACTTTTTTTGCTCACTCCCACTCCCACTCCCACTCCCACTCCTACTCCTACTCCTACTCCTACTCCTACTCCTACTCCTACTCCTACTCCTACTCCTACTCCTACTCCTNCTACTCCTACTCCTACTCCTACTCCTACTCCTACTCCTACTCCTCCTACTCCTACTCCTCCTACTCCTCCTACTCCTCCTACTCCTCCTACTACTCCTACTACTACTACTACTACTACTAGTAGACTTGTACTAATACTACTAGTAGTAGTACTACTACTATAATAATAGTAGTAATAATAATAACAACAGGAGTAGTACTTAAAAAAATCTCAATATTACTATATTTAACCTCGCGAACTAGTAGTAGTACTAGAAGAGGCACTATGTGGTGGCCAGAACCAGAGCCTCTCCAGACGACCAGGGAGAAGAATGCTCCTAGCTGCACAGAGGGGCCTGTTGGATCCACCACCTGGAGCAGGCTGCTATCAGCTGGAGACAGAGGACAAATGGTCTTGGTTAGTTTGCTTGTTGGATGCCAGAAGGCCTTCTTGTTCAGGAATGTACTATGTAGGAATCAGTAGGAGGAAATCTAGGTGATAATTTTCAGAAGCTAAGTGTGGTGATTTCGTACGTTTGAAAAAATTCAATTTGAAAATTATGATAACAGTACTAGTACCACTTGTAGTTGCTACTACTAGTATTATGCTTGTGGTTGCTTTCTTCACTTCTAGTAGTACTAGTACTACTACTACTGCTGATGATGATGATGGGGATTGAAACAATCAGCAAATCAGCAGCTCCAAAACCACCAGCAGGCAGGAAGAAGAAGGACAAGTACAGTTAGAATACTAGTACTACGAGTTTAGTCGGAGTAAAATGCATTAACCGTATGAACCCTACCACGTCCTAGTAGTACTACTACAGAGCAAAAGGCAGGGCATTCTACTCAAACACCAAAAATTATTACTAGTAGTAGCATCATGGTTAATTTTTGGCCCAGTAGTTTAGTACTGATCCTACATAGATCTACTAGTTTTTGGTCACTTTTTGACMGCAAACAGTGTAATAGGACATTTAGAACTGCTCCAGTATGGCCTGAGAGCAGCTGTTCTTTGGGGAAAAGCTTCCTAATAGTGTTGGGAATAGCCCCATGTGTCATTGTTACACGATTATAGGCCTTGGGGGAGTTGATTCTCCATTAACAGCCTGTATGGCCAAAATTGGCCGGTTTACAAGATCGCCTGCTAGTTAGAAAATAGGCCACAACTCTATAAAAAAAACTTTAGTACACCACCAGCAGCAGACTAAGCGCCCAGACCAAGATGATACAATTACTTAGCGATCCAGATCATGGTGGCAAGAATGTTTGCAACAAGAATGTGCTAGTAGTAGATCTGTGGAACAATCCTCCAAGTTTTCTTGCAACCTTCACCATACTAGTAGTACTAGTAGTAGTAACGGCCAGCACCCCCCCTCACCTGTTCAGCAGAATTATCATATTGTACTACTTTACTAAATATCAGTTTCTGCCATCATTTTCTTCTTACCAGTCAAACATGCACATTTCTCCTTGTAGTAGCCCCTCCACACACAACAAAAACCAGTAATGCCAAAAATTTTGTTTACCAAAGAAAACCATACCCTAGCAACACCAAGAAGGCCAAGGGACGGCTATTTTTCCGTGCGAGCAAAGGAAAACTGAGGCATCATTAACAAAAAGCAGAACCTTCTCCCACTGAGATTCGAACTCAGGTTGCGAGAATCAGAACCTCGAGTGATAACCAACTACACTATGGGAGATTGCTGCCTTTGTAACCTTGTAACAAATTAAGTATTGTGAATGTTATTTTGGAAAAATCGGCGATCCGTTTAGTTATTGGTCGCTCCGCCAAAAATGACGTCATTTGAAACGGATTGCGAGCGCTGACGTGTCGCTCCGGTTCGGGTGTCCCGGACGGACACCGGGCAAGCGCATTGGTTGGATCCGGTCCGTACGTACGGTACGGTACCACATAGAGATTCCACACGCGCTGCCGTAGCGAGCGAGTCGGTCGCTGGAGCGGTTTTGAACAGACCATGTGCTACGTACCTTTCCGTACCCAGCGGTTCAAAAGGAGACTATCCGTAAGTAACCTTGTCGAACGGCGGGGATTTTCGTCTAGCCCGGTGTGCCCGCCGCCCCATTCAAACCAAAAAAATAGTAGTAGTACCGCGGTGTCGTAGAAGCCACGGTGCATTGCCCCCTAGGATGACACCGTGGACCGTACCGCCCAGTACGTACGGTACCGTACCGCGCTCTGCGATGCGCAAGGACGGACGCACGGGGTTCTCGCACTTTCGTACCGAGCTTCACGCAATTCGAACAATCGAATCGAATCCGAATCGTCGTCGTCGTCCTCGATCGTCGAAGTTTTTGGTTTCTTGGAGCTGACGTTTTCGGTTCTGCGTGAAATCCAACGCTCTGGTTGCGGTACCGTACGAGGGAGGTTCGTGCGGTGCAGTGCGGTGCAGTGCGGTGTTGGGTTTGCTATCGTACGCTGCGGCACCAACAAACACCCGGTGCAACTGTTTTGACGCCGTTCTTTCTCTTTTGTTTTTCGTGATTCACTTCCCCCCCTCGGTCCGGTAAGTACGAGCGGTGCCGTGAACTACCTGTCTCGTTGACACCCACACCCCCAACGACAGCTGCTGTTCGATCCACAACCGACACCAGCGGCTTCCATTTACATTCCCGATTCTAAGCCTTGCTTGTTTCTCTTGCACGAATTCCTTCCTTCCAAAGAATTCGGTTCCGCTTAGTTTGCTTCGCTTCAACACAACCCATCACTCCAACTTACCGTGCCTCGATCCGCATCCCGGTTTCTTTTTCGTTGACGGTACAAGATACAAGACTGCACTGATTCCATTTGGTCCAGCAACAGCAACCCATACAAAGACACACACAAAGACCAGCGCAGAATGAAACTCACGCTCTCCACCGCCTTTTTCCTGGCCTCCCTCGGGTCCGCCCGGGCCTTTGCGCCCCCCAAGCCCGCCACCACCACCACCGTGGCCCTCGAGTCCAGCCGGTACGACTACGACGACGTCGGCATCCGGTCCTCCAGCGGCGCCCGCGAGCTGCGGCGCACCAGCGCTCCCCTGGCCCGGGCCCCCATGCAGTACCCCGAATCGGGCGCCATGGTCCGATCCCGCCGGGGGGGCCCCAGCCGCGGATACCGCGACATGCTCCAGACGGAGAACATCCAGGGAGGAGCCCTCAAGACCTGGTCCTTTCCCGATCCCAACGTGGACTCCGTGCAGGTCTTTATGAAGACCGAGGGAACCCCGCTGACCGCCAACGTGGAGCTCTGGCACGGGCCCGACTCGACGCCCCACAAGATGGCCGTCTACCTGGAGGACGGAGACTTCCGCCCCTTCTCGGCCGTGATTGCCACCCCCCGCTTCAACGCCAACTCGGTCTCCATTCGCAACACCCAGACCCTCGAGTACCCCATCGAGGCGGCCGTGGAGCCCGACTACGAGTCCCTCGACGAGATCACCCGCAACATCGGCGAGGACGTCCCCAAGATCATGCAGGGAGGCGCCATCCACACAGTCCCCTTTCCCCCCTCGGTGGCATCCGTCGCCGTTCTCCTCCGAACCGACGGGCGTCCCCTCAAYGCCCGCATCGAGCTGTTGCAGGGTCCCAACAACAACAAGCAGGTCGTCGAGGTCTACACCGAGGACGGAATCGAGCACCCCTTCTTTGCCGTCATCGAGACGCCCGGCATCGGAAACGTCATCCGCATCGTCAACACCGGAACCGTCGAGTTCCCCATCACGGCGGTCGTCGAGCCCTACACGGTCGAGCGGGGCGGCATGTACCGGGACGCCAGGCGCGGCCGGGTGGGCCGATACGGAGACTACGACGGGGACTACTCCTACTAGACAGCGGCGCCGGTGGCCGCGAGGAAGGATTGGATTTGGATTGTACCTCTGTCGTACGTGTACGTGTACATGTACGTGTAAAAGCACGTGCGACACGGTGCGATCGATGGAGGCACGGGATGCGATGCGATGGGAAGGATTCGATTCGGCGGATGTATGAATATGAACAGGAACACGAATAGAAGAGAAGAGAAGATGGGTGTTTGCAAGCATCGGTTCGGGCTCGAGCCCTGCGCGCGCGTGTTGGTTGTATATGTCCGTGCCGGTTGTACTGTATATGTCTGTGCTATCGTTTGTGCGTTGCAAAGCAAGTGCGGGCGGGAAAGCTCGAATCCGAACACTTGTGGGTTTTGGTTTGGTTTGGTTCGGTTCGGTTCGGTTTGTTGCCGTTTTGTTGCTTGGTGTGCTTTGGATTTGGATTGGTTTGGTTTGGATTGGATTGGATTGGTTCGACGCGAACGAGCATTGCGTTTGGTGCTTTGTTCTCTCGAGGGCCAAAAGGGAAAAGCCTCGTGGAACGGCTCGTTCGTTCGAGTGGAAGGAAGGAAAACGGAACTGGAATTGGAATTGGATTCGGAGCCTGCTCCGAGAATGCTGCTCTTCGGACGGCACGGCCGGGCCGCTGCTCGTTTGTTTTGTTGAGCTTGCGGCGGTCGGGTCGGTCCTTTTCGTGGAATGGAGTGCACTGGATTTGAAATCTGAATGGAACGGAACGGAACTGAACTGAACTGAACTGAAACGAATCGAAACAAGAACAACACATACATTATTGCAAACAAACATAACAATTATAATACAAATATTTCAATTAAAAAAGAAAATCAGTTGTGCATCGATCGAGCGAGCGATTGCCGCGGATCAGAAAGGCCCGCCAAAATCAAGACCCCGTAGTTCGAAACAACCGCACGAAACGAGGAAAAGGAGGCCCCTCAATCAAGCGCCGCTGTCGACAATGGCACCAAGGCGCCTTTGCATCAACCCGTATACAACAATGTCCCCACCGGCCATTTTAGTTGCTACGTACATCCTATTTCCTCTCTTTGTTGCATCAAAGAGAGCAAGAGGAGGAGGAGGCCAGGGCAGCTCATTGTCCAATCCCTCATATTATTTTTCTGGAGATGGATCAAAACGGCAACGGCAACAATGGCCGCAGATCTGGTACTGTTAACTACTCGGAAGAAGAGCTAGAGAGGAGCCTTACGGAGTTGATACTGCTGGAGGTTCTCCCTATTGATTCAGAAGAGTGGAATACTGTTCTTGTCACCAAGCATGCTGCAAACTTTCCCTTTGACAGAAGCAACAAGAAGAAGAAATCCATTAGGAACAAGAAGTACAGTTCTGTGAAAGCCAAAACAACAATGATGGTGACAATCATTAATACTATTAGTAGTAGTAGTAGTAGTCTTGTATGGTAGTAGTAGTAGTAGTAGTAGTATTTTCACTATCAATAGTAGTAACAGTACTAGTGCTAGTAATAGTGCTGTTACAACTACTAATACGAGGTGGCGCTTGCCTACTAGTAAAACCTTAAGATGTTCTGTTCGGAGTTCCGTTTCATTCACTCGCGTACGATATTTTCTGCGTAATACCGTACGTACCATTCGCGCGTGTCACGAGTGATTTTCTGTGGAAGAAAAGATATGCCAAGAAAGTTCGTGAAAAATGAATCATCGCCATCACAATCACCATCTCCACCGCCTCTGTCCACTCGTCTGGGTCCGGGACCGGACAATCTCTATGGGAAAGCATTCCGCCGTGCTCATACCGCGTCTCGATGCCAAAACAATCTGGCATTGGGCAAGGAATGATCGGAGCCAACCAGGGAGAATACTAATATAAATATAAAACATACCTCTGTCATGGACCAACACGAGCATCGATCGGTGTCGCCGCAAAACGCGGGGGCCGAGCGAGAGCGGCTTGGTGGGGGGCCGACAGCGACGAGCGACGACGCCGATCCGGTGCGACAGAGCCACAGCATCCCCCTCCAGGATCTTCCGTGCGACGCCTTTGCCCTAGTCGTCAGCTATTGCCCCGACCTGGAATCCCTCACAAACCTCGGATCTGCGAGCCACCCGCTGGGGAGGATGGTCTTCCGCCAGAACCTGCTGAATTGCGACCGCTGCCGGATCCCCCTCTTTGCCGACGAGAACCTGTCGTCGAGGACCCCCCACACGAGGGCCTTTTCGTGCTCGGTCTGTCGCTCCACGCTGTGCGGCTACCAGCTCTTCGATTACGACCGGCGCAACTGCAAGCCCCAAAAATGCGACGGCTGCGGGAGCATCGAGTGCCGGGCCTGCATGGAGGCCCACACCTCCGACGAACACGCCGACGGATACGGGACCGAGAACTATTGCAAGGCCTGCCAGGGGGAATTCGAATTCGGCATGGGGGGTTGCTGATCGGGGCGGGAGTGTCGCGGGTTTTCGATGACCAGTGGGGAACGCTCCAGCGTACAGCTGCTGACTATTTTGGGCTATTGCGCGGTGCCATGCTATGCTATACTCATACTCATACTCATAATTCTAAACACGTTCTGCCAAGACATCGCTGTGTACAATACGAAGTAAATCCTCTAGTTACTGAGAGTTTATCGACGAACCAAGAAACCAACCACCGAAGGCGCGGCGATTTCATCCTGTTGCGCATTCATGGATTCTTGCCAACATTTTTGTTTTCGATCGATTGGAAAAAGGACCGTCCACATACGGTTACGATAGTACTCCGAAATACTCTATACGGTACGGAGTATTTCTCGTTGTTTTGCTTAGAAGGGCAAGTTCGCCACTTATCATGACGCATGCATATTCCTAGAACATGTATTCCTAGTACATTTGATTTTGTATGAGGTTTCTTACATGATTAAATTAATTGCTCTCTAGATTCTCTTGATRTGGCGGATTCCTAGCAGATCAAAGCACTGCTTCATCGAAGTGGTCGTTACGTGGCACAACAGGAGTCGGCTCTTCATCTCGGGGGTGCCCAGGACCTTGCACTGGGTGACAAAATCGGATCCTGCGATCGACAGTTGGTACACATAGTCGCAGATATGGTAGGGGAGTAAATCGTCGAGGGTTTGGTCCAGGACGTCGGCAAAGGACTGGATCTGCAAGGCGAGGTTTCGCTCCGACTCGTGCTCGATGACAATCTTTTCTCCCGAGGCAATAAGGTCTTCGACGTCGCAGTCGAATTCGGCCTTGGCCTTGCGCATGATGCTCTCGAATCGAACGCGGCAGTAGAGGAGATAGACGGCGGTGTTTCCCTTGGTGTCCAGCATGGCGTCGTACGAAAACTTGTAATTGGAGGTTGGGTTTCGTCGCAAGTCAAAATACTTGACGGCTCCGTATCCGACGGCTTCTGCGACCTCGTGGACTTCTTCTTCTGTGATTTGGGCCCTTCCGCTGGCAATTCGGTCCCTCAGGGATCCCTCCATTCGATTGACCGCCTCGTCCAGTAGATCCACGAGTCGCACCGTGGTGCCGGATCGGGTCTTGAATCGCTTTCCGTCTTCTCCCTGCACCGTTCCAAAACCAATGTGCTGGAGTTGCTGTCCGTTGTTGAGCCAGCCAATGTCTTTGGCCGCTTGGAAGCACATGGCAAAGTGGTCTCCCTGTGTGTAATCCGTGATGTAAATGCTTCGGGTGGCCTTGACCGTGAACAGACGGTACTTTAGGGCTGCCATGTCGGTACTGTCGTATCCGAATCCACCGTCTGACTTTTGCAGCATGAGGGGGATCTTGTAATTTTCCACAAAAACGCACTTGGCTCCTCCCTCTTCGACGCTTAGGATGCCAGCGTCGTTGAATTCTTCGATGACAGGTGGAATCTTGTCGTTGTAGAAGGATTCGCCACACTCCTTGACCGTAACATCCAATCGGTCGTAGACTTTTTGGAATTCCTTGCGCGAAACGTCGCAGAGAAGCTGCCAGATTTCGATGCATTCTGCGTCTCCGGATTGGAGTTTCACAACGTTCAGCTGGGCCGTCTTTTTGAAGTCAGCATCGTCGTCGAATCGTTCCTTGGCAGCCTTGTAAAACGCTGTCAAATCCGTAATATTGGGCATGTTGTTGGCAAAATCGGGATATTCCTCCTTGAGGTATTGAATAAGCATTCCGAATTGGGTGCCCCAATCACCAACGTGATTGATGCGTTCAACGTTGTATCCAACGAATTCCAATATGCGACAGACGGCCTCTCCGATGATAGTAGAACGCAAGTGGCCTACGTGCATCTCCTCTATCGTTAAGAAAGCAAGAGGTAGTGGTGACGATGAGGCGGAAGTGCAAACGACTGAAAGAAAAGAACACAAAACAAACGATGCTGTTCTCTTTGCTTCGCTTTCACGAGCGGCTGAACCATGAAACTCAGATTCAATACACCACAATACACTACTGCATAGAACTTACTGGCAATATTGGGACTGGAAAAGTCGACCAGGCACGTTTCCTGTGGGCCGTCATTGACGGGCTTGGGCAGGGACTTGTTCTTGAGGGTGGTTTCGATGTGCGACTGTAGATAGACAGACGAGATCTTGCACATGATGAATCCCGGTCCCTGGATGCGCATTTCCTGGATGACGGGGTGGTCCTTCCCGACTCTGTCGATGATGACCTGTGCCAGCTGCTGCGGGCCCGATACCCCTGGGGGCATGCCACCGGTTTTCTTGAGGCTGGCAAAGGCCGGCATCGTGACACTGCACTGGTAGTCTCCGTGCTTGGGGGTGTCGCACTTCTTGATAATGTTCTTAGGAAGCTCAAATTCGGGGGCAATATCCTCGATGATCTCGGTAAAGATCGCCGTCAGGACCTTCACGAGACTGGGATTTGTCTTAATGTCGATAGGGGGGACGGGGCAGTGCTTGCCAACGGCGGCCTTGGCGGATTCTAGGGCTGCGGAGTGGCACTGGTAGTATTTTTGAACGGAGCCTGGATTTGGAGTCACAGTCGCATTGTATGGAATGTTAGGGGATCGTATGGTTTGTTATGGTATGGTGTGCGACGTGCCAGGACACCGGGTGTTAGTTTTGGTTCCACAAACCGAAAAAGTGTTGTTGAGAAAGAAGAAACGAGTTAGATAAAAAATCAGGTGGCGACACGTTGTATAGCGATGGTTCGAGCGCAAACAATGGAAGTGCCTTTGGCAGTCGCGTTGCCTACTCGGGAGCAGTCACTAATGCATTCCGTGACATGCCACCCACTACGACGGCGCAAAACCTGTGTGCGCGGGTCTGTGTATGTGCTTGTGTGTGTGGCAGAATCTTCCGAAACGGAGTTTCCGCGAGCCATGCAACGCACTGACTTCGTCCGACCCTTCCCTTTGACCAACCGCACCAAAATCTAAACATACTGCGCTGTTCCATGATATGTCATGTCGTGTTGTTCGAAACTATACTTACTCGGCCACGTCGCAATGCTTTCCGCGTGGTTCGACAGGGTCACCATCACGCAAATGTCGGCGATGGTGTCCGCTTCCCCGACCAGATGGACGCCCGTCGCCGATCCCTCCAGGGCAGCCGCCAAAGAATCGAGCTTGAGGGGCTTTTTGCCATCGGTTCGCAACGTCGTTCGCTCTACCTCGCACCACTCGTCGGCCTCGAAACTGAGGGGCTCTCCGGCCATCAGTCCGATGGCCTTGCACATGGCGTTGCCCCCGCCCCCGAGAACGTAATCTCCGGTCGTTCCGTAAAAGAGGGCAGGTTTTTTCGATCCGGCCGCCGAGAATCCCGCCGGAACATCCTTTTTCTTGGCCACACCCAGAGGGATCCCGTAATGGAGAGACGCGTACACAGCCTTCAGAGTGGCGGAATCGTCCTTCGCGCCCTGGTACAGGAGCACCTTTGGGGCCTTGGGGAGGGCAACCGAAGAGGGGGGTGGCTTGCCTCCAGCGGCCGCATTGGCTGCTGCGTTGGCGTTCGGAGCGGCTGGAGGTGCGGCACCGCCGCCCTTGGCGGCAGCTTTCTTGGCCGCCTTTTCCGCTTTCTTGGCCATCTTTTTCAGTTCGTTCTTCGAGGGTCCTTTTGGTGCGTCGTCGGCCATGGTAGTAGATTGATCTGTGTAATTTACTGCAATGTGTTGTATCGGTGCAAAAAAATCTCCTGCTGGATCTGTCGGTCCCCTGGCTCTTTCAGGCACTTGTGATGTTTCGATTCGGTTATCTTTGGTCGTCGTCGAGGTGTTCATTAGTTATTGTTCGTACAAGTACGAGTACCGTACTACTCCTACGATCTGTCGTGCGTAGGTTTCTACGATACGTCTCCTTGGCCATGGCTCTGGAAGAAATATTTTTAGATTCCTTCATCCTTTGTTCCAATGTTTTTGGCTTCGTTTCTTTTGGAGGAGAGACAGCCAAGCCGTCGATGGACAGTCAAGCATGATACGTATGACAGACAGGCGGTTTTCATACATGAATGAATCGAAGGAATCACAGAAGGAATCGAATCAGAAGAATGGATTCGAGTCGAATGAATCAAATCAAACTCAAACAATCAGCCCTTCGCGCGTAGGGCGACAAAGAAAGTTGTGAGGACATAGTTATTCCCGGATTAAGTTTTGGGCGCGTTGGTGAACATGGTTTGGTCATACAACATTTAACGTTTGTTATTCATAGGGCGCGCAAATSGCGTGACACCATTGACAAATTAGTTGAAGTTGAAAACCGTCACACTCCCAAAAACAAAGAATCCTACCGTTATTCGTAACGGTACTCGTAGGCGCTCACGGTCTGTACGCAGCCTTTGGTGAAAATGCGAACTCCAGGAGGCGCCTCGAAGCGCCCTCGAAAGCGAAGACCTGTGGCGCGGGTCACGGACATAGACGAAAATACCATAGGGTGCACGCCACAGAATAGTGGCAACGGCTGAGCTCTGGCCAAAATTCGATAGTACAAGAGAGGAGATTCCTTCCATTGGGGAGTATACTACTGAGGGTTCGACAGATAGTACGGCGCATACCACGCCGTACAGTACGTTTGGAACGCGTCCGCCGCTCCCTTCGCCACAAAGAAGGTTGGTCGTCGTGTTCTTTCCGTTCAGGGCAGTATTGACGGTTAGAAAATGAGTGACTGATGCAATGCGATGCCCCAAGGTATGTGAGAGCGCCAAAAGTGATGCCTGTCGAGTGAAAGAGGAGCGGCGGGAGCTATGGTAGTCCCGCACGTGGAATGCGGGACCTCGGAACAATGCAACTGCAACTAGATTTTCGATGCGATCGCTCCCACTATTGGGGCGGCGTCATAGGCTCGGGATCAGCAGGGAATGTTTCGATCTGGTTGGATCAGAGTACCGTGTGCGCATTTCATTGCACTGGATTGGTTGACATCCCATTACCGCATTGGTCTACATAGCATCCCATCTAGACCGCAGAACTAGCATAGTAGCATTGCGTTGCATTGCATCCAACCATGGACTTTCTTCGGAAGAAGGTGTCCGGCTGGAAGCTCAGTGCCGGGGAAGAACAAACCGACGACGAAACCAGCCTCCCAGTCGGGCCCACGATCGGCATCTCTGCCGGCCAGGTGCGAGAAGACGTTCACTACATGGAATCCCGGGGCGACATCGACCTGTCCTTTTTAAGATTCCATGCTTTTGACCCAAACGGCCACATCTATGGGAACCTGAATAATTATTACAACAACCAACACGGTGACAACTATTACAACGACAGCAGCAACAGCAACAGCAACAGCAACAGCAACAGCAACAGCAACAGCAACAGCAACAGCAACAGCAACAGCAACAGCAACAGCAACAGCAATTTTACCAACGGCCATGGATATGAAAACAGCGGAAGCAGGGTGGAGACTTTTGTGGACATTGCGGTCTTTGAGGTACCAGACCATTGTACTAGTCGGAACTGTGACCTCTCAAAGGTAAGGAGGAGGAAGTGAAGATTGGTATCAGCGGTGCTGCTGGTTATCGTTCTGTGTAGTGTTGCGTCCTTTGGCTGCTTGACACCGTGAGTGTCGTGCATTCGTCTTGTCCACGTAATCTGATTTCGCTTTATTTCCTCTCCGCTCCCTGAACTCCAAAACTCCAACCACGTTGTTACCTTTTTGTTTCTCCCTTTTTACACGAATGAATACCTCGGTTGATGAATCATCGTCACTTTTGACACGCTAATAATCAACAACATTATCAAACGACAATACACTGAATTGACCATTGAAAACGATAACGCAACAATCGCTACCACAACAGTTCGGGGTGGGAGATCTCTCCCACTTTAACGGCGGCTCCTATTCGAACTTGTGCAAGGCGGGCCGGCTGAATCTAGACCACAGCGTCTTCAAGGGCCATCACACGCAGCTCATGGTCCCTATCGAGGGGCCCATGCAGGACCGCATCAAGCAACGCAAAACCGCCAGATTTTCGGGTACGAAGGAAAGGCACTACGAGGTCGTCCTGGCGAATTGCCACCGACACGGGAGGAACGTCCGCGTGAACGGGCAGGTCGTCTTTGACCTGGTGGAAACCGAATCGATCGCCAATAACCTGACGAGGGGGTCCGCGGCGATCCTGTCGTCGGTCGCCCTGGTGGTCTTTTTGGCGCTGAGCGTCGTGGCCGTCCGGGTCCGCTTGGGGACCCGATCGGACTTCGAGCGAGAGTTGTACGGCCTGGTGCCTAGCACCGATGACGACGGCGATGTCGCTGGGGACGGCGAGCCACGCGAACCAACGGAGGTCGAAGACCAGTACGAAGACGACAACGACGAGCGGGGCGCAGAACCGGGAGCGGGGAGCCCCGACCTGGCGCTGGCAAACACAAGAGTTGTGTAGATTGCTCCGTTTGCACGACTTTGGTGAAAGCCTCGAGGTGGTATGTAATACCATGGATGCTGTGCCATCTACAGCATTTTTGTAAAATAGTATTGTTTCACCTAGTAATTACTTGCAAGGGTTTATTAGTTGTAGAATGCTTTGCTTGGATGAATGAAGCAATGGACGATGATGAATACATTCTAGAATCAGAGCCTTGATATTGAAACCTCGTTCACTTCGATGTGCTCTCCTCTGGCGTTTCTTGCTTTCCAATGATAGTGTTGTGGTTGTGTTTGATAGTCGAAGTTGTTGGAGGAGGACATTACTACCAGTTGTACTAGTAGTACTAGGACTATTCCATGTTTTCTTCAACGCAGTTGGATTGCATTGTCCTGCCCCCTCCGGAAATCCCGCGCGGCAGATCCCCCCTTTCGAATTTGTCCCCCCACATCTTGTACCCATCAAAATCCGTCAATCAATTTTTTTTCCATCCCATTATCATCGCTTTGCACCGTCCGTACGGAACGGTACGTACGAGCTTGTACGACACATACTAATAATACGTTGTTAAAATCAATAGACGAAGAATTCCATCATTCCAACACGGATCCAAGCACGATAGCTATTATAATTGCACTCTTTTGCTTGTCCTGTCCCCGGTTTCGTCAATGAGATCCTTTTATTCTGGTCTGTGCTTTTTGTGTGCTCTCTTTGTTGCATTCGAGTCCGGACTTGTATCGCTATGGAGCAAAAGTGACGACTCTTCTTCATCGCTGCCCCGTCCGTTCGCCATGGCGTTCTCGAGCCGGTGCACACGTTTTCACCGCAGCGGACAGGCAATAAGACGCTGCATCCGAACCATTTCACCTGCTGTCGCTGTCCAGTCCACCGGCTTGTCGAATGTTCTTATACGATACTCCTCGAGCGAAAAAAACACTCTCTGCAGCCAGTCCGTACCGGCGTTCCGTGCCTCCTCGACCTTGCTGTCGTCGTCCGCCTCGCCCCTGACAGAAACCAACGCCGATCAAGAGGAAGACGACGAACCATTTATAGAGGAAGACACAATCTTCGCTCTGTCCTCCGGATTCACTGGCGAACAGGCCACCGCGGTGGCCGTGATTCGAATCTCCGGCCCCAAAGCCACCTCAGTATTGGAAGGCCTGCTCAAGACTTCGCCCACGAGCAAGCCTCGCCTCCCAAAATACCGCATGGCCGCGCTGAGAAAGCTGTACCACCCGGCCGATCACAGCATCCTGGACCATGCACTGGTCCTCTCCTTCAAGGGTCCCAACTCTTTTACGGGGGAGGACCTGGTCGAACTGCAGTGCCACGGCAGCAGGGTAATCGTACAGCGATTGCTGAACGAGGCCCTTCCCTCCCTGGGATGCCGCATGGCCGAGCCGGGGGAGTTTACACAGCGAGCGTTTGCGGAGGGAAAACTGGACCTGGTGCAGGTCGAGGCCCTCGCCGACATTCTAGCGGCCGAGACACACCTACAGGTCGAACAGGGCCTCAAGCACCTGGACGGCGACGTTTCAAAAACCTACGAGGAATGGCGAAGCCAACTGGTCTCAGGGCTGGCCCACGCAGAAGCCGTCATCGACTTTGGCGACGACGAGCACCTGTTGCTGGGGGACGAGGAGGAGGACGACGACGGGCTCTCGGACGAAGCGCTCCAGCAGCAGCAGGAATCGGTCTGGGGGGAGGTCGGTGCCAAGATGATCCGCCTGAAAGAATCCATGGAGGACAATCTCGAAGATGGCCGGCGGGGTGAACTCATTCGAGAAGGCATCAAGGTAGCCATAATCGGTGAGTTTAACACGGGATTCTTTTTTGCCTACTGTAGGACGCTATACTTACTTGACTCTTTTTTTTCCTTCCAACCCAATGGCACACCGTACCGTAGGGCCACCGAATGCCGGAAAGTCGAGTCTGTTTAATGTTTTGGCACGCCGGGATGCAGCTATCGTGTCACCGATTGCCGGAACGACCCGCGATGTCTTGCAGGTTTCAATGGATCTGGGAGGAGTCAAATGCACACTCCAAGACACAGCGGGCGTCCGAAGCGACACAACCGATATACTCGAACTGGAGGGCATGAAACGGGCAAAATCGGTTATTCAGGAAGCAGACCTGGTTGTGGCCATGATCGATGTCACCATGGCCTCTCACGGCATGGAAATTGTTCGATCCGTCCTAGATGATTGCGACATAGGTAGCGACGATGACGATGAGAGAATCAGTCCCCAGCGAATGCTCTTGGTGCGCAACAAAAATGATTTGTTGGAAGAAACAGCAGAGATGGACGATGCACAACGGGAAGAACAGGAATCAAAATTTGGAGACGGCATTTTCGATATATCTTGCCAAAACCAGGAAGGAATAGATACGTTTTTAGATGCACTGACGCAGGAAGTGGTGACTAGAACGAGGGGAAGCGCCGATGTGGGCGAGGGTGCTATGATCACACGCGCCCGTCACCGGCAGCATGTCGAGGCGGCGGTCGAGGCCCTGGAGCGCTTTGCGATGCTGAGTACACAAGGAAACATGGCGGTCGATATGGCAGCCGAGGAATTGCGACTGGCGGGCTCGGAACTTGGTAGAATCACGGGGGCGGTCGACGTTGAAGACGTGCTCGATGTTCTCTTTAGTGATTTCTGCATAGGCAAGTAGAAGTTCAACTAAATTGCGCATTCCTTCGGCTATATCGAGAAGAGACAAGATTACCCACGCAACCTACTAATAACAGAATAATCTGAAACCAAAATGATACGTTTCTATACTGTTGCAATTTGGTGTTGAAAGGAGACCACCATTGATCTCCTAATTTTCTCATAAAGCTTCTACAGTAGTATCTATTTTAAAATATCGCAGATAAGCCGCCAATCAGACGCATTCGGCTGAAAGTTCCGACGAAACGAAAGAAAATTCATGATACTTATCGACTTTTTGATCTTCTCTGGCCATAACACCTTGGTAGCATATGCATCCTATGAGCTTTGAAGCCAATCTGTCAAAATGCTGCATTCGAAACAGTCGGCGTACATTTCCTAGCAAAAATATTGATTTCTTCCTGGATGCCTACAGTATTTTGAATTCATATCATGCAGCAAAATGATTCTATCGTATGAAATTACTGGCCTTTCACTTTTGACGACAGAGACAAAAGCAAGATCGAGAGATATTGAAATTATCTCCATCATTATTATGAATTGTGCTTGTTGGAAAGAGTTCTATTGACGAAAAAGCACCATGGATCTAGGTTTTCTATTACTGTTATTATTCGTTCGTTTTTCAGGTAGAACTTTCTTTGAAACCCCTCAAATTAGATTTTTTGCGCCAAATCTTCATTGTGCCCTCAAGGGTCACAGCAGTTACTCAGAAATATGCCCACCACTTGAGGACAACACAAAAATCGTGATTAAAATAATTCCAGCGGGAAATTGTTACCACGGAGCACGCCCTTGGGTCACAAATTCGGTTTGACGCGCAAACGGCCCTAATTAAATTTGCGAAACGGTAGTTTGGAGGCGTTGGATGCGCAAGGTGATGTGTGAATATCGGTATGTGACTGAGCCGTGGATCCAAACGTACCGTATCAAAAAAAAATTCAGAGTATTTCTTTTTGTCTTGGACGCGCATCCCGACTGACAGAAACAACATACTTGTACACAATACAGTAATAGAAAAGAATAACGTGAAAATTGTCCCTCTCCGATCAGTTCAAAACGAGGCTACATCCATGCAATTAGAGTTTGCCAACAAAGATTTGTACAAATTCAAAAAGTTAACAATGAAAAGTAAAGTGATTCCTTTCTTCTCGCTTCTTCTTGCCTATGCCGCTGGGCAGAGCTTAGAAGAGCCTTTGAAACCAGCCAATATTGCGGCGACCAAACCGTGTTTTGTGAAAGGAGAATTAATCCGTACAACTTTTGCGAACTTGAAGGGAGAAGGTATTTGGATAGGTTTATATCCAAAGAATGAGGTAAAAGATTTTTCAAACCTTCCAAGTTTCGACTCGGGAACTTTGAAAGGATGGATCTTAACATGCGGTCAAAGAGATAATTGTGATGAATGGAAGTCGGAGGGGACAGTTCGGTTTGCAACCGATGAGCTGGATTATGGCGAATACGTTGTGACAGCATCAGGGGATCGGGCAACCAAGACTTCACAAGCTCACTCAGAATCCTTCATTGTAGATGCCCATTGTTCGGAACGTCACGAATGGAGACCTGCCACTCCAGACCAACAGCGTAGTCCTTGTCCCTTTCTGAACACAGCAGCTAATCATGGTTTTCTTAATCGAAACGGTACCTTCATCAATGTGGATGAAATGGCCAACAACCTGGAAGCATTGTACAACGTGGCTTCTGACTTTCTGATTCAAGGACCAATCGAACAAATGATCGATTGCAATCAAACTTATTTTGACGAAAACGGAGTTCGAAGGTTTGATCTCGACATCCTATTCGACGATAAGTGTGAAGAACACGAAGCAAGCATGGTGCGCGCAGATAGCTTTTTTGGGTTTGAGAGATCCAAAAAAGTCGACGACGGCCTCCTCAACAACTTAATGAGAATGAATCATGGTAAAAACTTTCTGACCCTAGAAAATGTCTTCGATTTCCAAGCCGATAGAATAATGGACTCTCGTTTAGTAAATCCAGAAACGGAATTCCGCCATTTCGACGTTGGAAATATGGGAGCTCAAGCTATGTTCCTATTCCTTTTGAGCAGCGATAATTCTATGAGGACCGTGGAAAAAGATCGCCTATACTTTTTCTTACTAGACGAGAAGCTACCAGACGATTTCGAACCAGGTTCCTTGCGAGAAGTACCATTCAATCCCAAGGATCCAGCGGATTTCGTGTTCAATCGATTAGAGGCATCTATGAATAACGTCGAGACCATGATGCACACTTCAATTGCTTCTGCGTTGAGAGGTGAAGGAAGATTGCACAGCGATGCAAATGCTGACCATGACCATGGAGTCTGAGTTGAAACGCAACGAAGCTATTCTCCAATACCAGACGTTTCTTTTTGAGCAACAGCTTTCTGTGAGATGTTTGCTCTCTCTAGCGATGAGTCAAAGGAACGGGTTCAGTTCGGTTTCATATTTAAAATCCGTCCGTTTCGACTTGTGTAACCAGTATCAATGTCAAAAGTCGATAAAATGATCTCAAATACTACAAGCATACTATAGGTAATAGAAGCTTTCGACTTCCCCATTTCAATGGACAGCAACAATTGTGGATGATTTCGTTAACTTGATTTTATTTCCAGATTGTTACTTTAGCTCGAAATTAATAGTACGATGCTGCAAGATCTCACAGCTTGGTAACTTGGGGCTTCTTCTGACAGAGATATTGGAAACTGAATGGAATGGTGTTCCAAATTTGAAACAGTTTTCAAAACAGGCACCCATGGACCAACTGTAGACTCAGATCGATTTTTTTTCAGCCTACAAAATGATGGTAGATGTAACTTTTTGCATTCAGTAGTAAGTTCCATTATCTGGTGTACAGTTATGTTATTTTTTTCTATCCTGATGGTTTCTTGTATTCTTATTCTTGAAAAGATAACCCTCCTATTGAACCAATGGTCTAGTCTGTTGCAATCGCCCTCGTCTGATTCACTTGTTACACCGAATGAATGGGTTGGTAGACTGGAAATGCGAGGATTGCCTGCTCCCTTTGCCTATCATGATTGTTGAATGACCATTATTGCTCTGTAGGTTTCTGTTGTGGAGCCTTTGGCGCGTCAGCCAGAGAGAATGGTTTTGATCTGTACAGGTGTGACTCGAGATAAAAATTCTTTGCATCTTCCTTCTTGCTGCTGTCACTGCCGTTGGTCTTCGCCGCTGCTGCTGTTCCCTCGGCAATTCGGCGATGGGTGTATGATGCCGATAGGACAAATTCTCGGGTTCGCGACACAACGAGGCGTATGTTCAGGGGCACCATCTTCTCTCCGCCGTCCTCGCTTGTACCATCCCCACTTTTTTCGTTGCTCCTTGCTGTTGTTTTGTTGTCTTCCGTGGTGTTTTCTTCTGTTCCTTTGTTTGTGTCCTTGCTGTCCGACATCAGCTCACTGGGCTTCGTCCCGTAAGCAAATCCAATAACGTTGTTGTCTTGATCCGTGACATAGGCGCATTCTAGAATTCCGAGTCCCGAAGAATCGCCGTCCGGCGATTGAATGGTGGGTGGAACCTTAGTTTCGATGGTAACTAGTTCTGGGTCGCCAAGGGCAGTGTCTAGCGTCTTCCACATTGCAACAGAAGGATCGGCATCGGAAACGGTGCCTTGGTCCTTGCTGCTGTTCTTTGTTGTCTCTGCAGAGGTTTGGTCCTCGTCCTCTTGTTCCTTGCTGCTGATGTATTCCTGCCACTTGGTCCAATCGATGGCGGGTTCCTTTCCGGTCATCCAACAAAAGTGGCGCGATGTGGCCTCGAGTTCCTGGATTCCCTCCGTATAATTCGTATCCATTTCGATCAGCGTGTAGAGGTTGCGATACTTTGAGGCACAATCGATCCAAGGCATCATGTACTTGAAACAACGTTCACTGGGAGACGAAGGATCACCTTCGTCGCTACTGTCGTCGTCACCCTTGCTCTTATCAGACGGCGATTTTCCTTCCTCCGCTTTGTTTTTGTTTTCCTTTTCGTGGTCCTTCGTGCAGGCTTCCACTTTTCGCCAGTACGGTCGACAAGGACCCTATGAATTTTATTGAGAACGAAGTGGCAGAATGAAAAAGTTCAAAAAGCACGGTAATAGAATCAAAACGTTGTGAATTTTTTGAGTTAGTCGCTTCGGATAAGATGTGTTCGGGAAAACCAACAATTAAATGAATCAATACTTCACATCGCTCTTGCCACGATCGTTAGCGCGGAGAGCAACACGACGCACGCACCTGTCGATACGTCAAACAGATGGAACAATGAGTCGGTTCGTCTTCTTCTGGAAGATTATCATAGGGGTCGTGTTCCGATTCTTCGGGAATGCTGTTGCCTTCGCCTGCGGGAGCTGCCTCCTCACAGAGCGTTGTAGACGGAGAGTTCCAATCCAAGGAGCCCGGTGCTAGGAGCAACGAGGTTGCGGCGGCTGCCGATGCCATTACCCCGAAATAGGTTGTGCTCCCGTTGGTGCGACTTCCGTTGCTGCTTCTGGATCTCGTCCACGCGTTGCTGCTAGCGGCAGCGACGGAACCGAAGCGTCGGTTCGTGGTTTGGCTATGCTGTTGCTGTTGCAAACGCGTCCGAGAAGAAGCACCGGTAGCAAGAGGAGCTGCTTTGAACGACGAGAGGGAATGAACATGCGCCTTCGGATGCGTTCCGGAACCAAATAGTCTTCGACTGCGTGCYAGAATCGTCATCGAGGGCCGCTGTATCCTTCGGATTCTCTCGGTAGAGAACGTAGTGGGTCGTGGAATCATCGTGCTGGTTTTTATTTTTGTTATTCAGCAGGAGCCCTGTGCAAACTATAGTATCAGTGCCGTCGGTTTGCTCTGTTCTGTTCTCTTCTTTTCTGTTTTGGTATCGTCACTCTTCTGGCCTCGTTGTTTCTCATTCAAGCATGTTTGTGAAATTGTGGCAACTGTATGGTACGACCGACAAACAATAAGTTGTATGGAGCCCTCCAAAACGGGGATTGGAAATTTTTTGTCGAAGGCAAAATCGAGATCGATCGAGTGGGAAAACAAGAAGATAGTGGGTTCCGGTTACCTGGCTAAAGAAGTCGAGTGAGTCATCAATCATCGTCTAGGGCGAGAGCTTTTCAGTCTGTATTTCGTCCGTTTCCATCCAGGTTTGTTAGTTTGGTGAGTCAGACAGTCAAGTCATTCGAGTGTGTCGTCTTAAGATTGATGTGCCCGTGATGTTTGGTCCCACAGTCTGGCCGTGAGTTCCAATACAGGTCTTGCCTCAGTAGTACGAGTACTCGTACACGCTTAGGCGATGGAGTGAAATGCGAGTACGATAATGGTAGGAACCATAAAAAAGTACTAGTACTGTACTCGTCAAATGCAACTAAAGTTGCACTCCCAATATTGGTGCGCCGGCTACGCCCAAATGTACCACATAGGCCCTAACCCCCCAATCGACCGGTACCATACTTGGTACCCCTATTTTTGCAACTGTAATGACTCTTTTGTGTGCAAAATTAACACGCAAAAACCGTACTGCACCTTTTCTTGGGGTTGTTGTTACTTTGCCTCCGAGGTGCATTTTCATCCGTTGAATTTACACTGTATTGCAATATTTGCAACACCATCATCGAACTGCTCGTCAAGCAAATTGCAAATTGCTTATTCTTTGCTTATTATTTTTCCTTCCCGGTTAAAATCTGAGTTTCCGAGTAACTCCTCGTACGTACGATACAGCACTAACAACACGATACAGTGACAATGGCACCACCACCAGCACGCCATGTCGAACAAGAACAAGGAGCCGCAGCAAGAGGACGCGTCCAACAAGGAGCCGCGGCAGCAAGACGCGTAGGAGGAGCGAGACAGCGACCTCCTCGGCGCCGCAGACGTACTGGAGGCGGCGCCGAAGCGAATGAAGCACCGAATGAAGCAAATGAAGCAAATGAAGCGCCGAATGAAGCAAATGACGAAGCGCCGAATGAAGCGCCGAATGAAGCGACGAATGAAGAAGCGCCGAATGAAGAAGCGCCGAATGAAGCACCAAATGAAGCACCAAATGAAGCACCAAATGAAGCACCAAATGAAGCACAAAATGAAGCACCGAATGAAGCACTGAATGAAGCGCCGAATGAAGCAAATGAAGCGCCGAATGAAGCACCGAATGAAGGCTTATCAGAACTCCTAGCCCTTATCGCAGAGGACGTGGTTGGTGCCGACGAACGTGAGGACGTTGGTGCGGAAGATGGAGACAACGCTGCCAGTACTACCAGTACAACAGCTTATAGACCAAGAAAAGGAACCGCTAGACGCCCACCGGGAGTGAATGTTTGTGATCAGTGGAAGAGATATCTCAAATATTTCCTTGATTTCATGGATTATGTGCATGGGAGGAGAGATGGTTATTATGACACTCCAAGGACTCCTGATACAAGATTTCATTGGGATCATGTGTTTAGCCCTGAGGATTTCRCGGATATTACCCCCAAACATGTGTATYRATTTTTGGCACTTAAGTGCTATAGAAAAGAGGATCCTGGCCCAGATGATAATCCTATATTTGAACGGTCTACAACTATTGAATACGCAAAGAAGGGGATATCCTATTATATGCCCAACAAGACCGTCAAGTGGTGTGTAATCCAAGGTGTTGGGCACGGTAATCCAACGCAGTCTCAAGAGGTGAATAATCTTATTGCAGCGGTGAAGTTGAAGGAAACTAGAGGGCTTGGGGTTCCATCTCAGATGGATAGACCGTTGACTAAGAGTGAATTTTTGCAGGCAGTTGACCTTATATCAGAGGAGGCTGGTACTGTCATAGATAAGAAGAGATATTTAGCAATGATGTTGACACAGATGCATTTCATGGCTCGAAATGATGATATGGCTCATATCACTAAGGATTCTTTGAAGAGTTGCCCTCAGTTTCCTGATTTTCTGACACTGAAAATGAAGTGGTCAAAAAATGTTAGAGAGGACCGTGACTGCCCTGAT